GTTCATCAGCCTTTTGCCATTGAACTTCAACTCGCCACAACCACCTCCCTGGCTTCGCCGCGAGTCTTCTTCTGACATTTCTTGCACTTTCGCTGGCTCCATGTCAGTTGGGATTGTAAGGCCACTTTCGTTGAGTTCCTGCTGAAGGGCCAACCGCAAACCGAGGACCAAGTCTCGATTGGCACATCCCAGCTGGCACCTTCAACTTCATGCCAAACTCTCTCGCGAGAACTGTATGCCGTGGACGCCACCCACAGCTTTTTGGGCAGCTGTGTGATGACCAGGTCCTCGCCTGGCTTCTTTTCCTTCATGTCCATCGGCATGTCCCTGACGTTTTCCTTGCTTGCACTTGGTTCCGCAGCAGCTTCACTCTTCTTGCCTTTGGAGTTGCCTCTATTTGTCAGGTTTCTATTGGCTGGCTCTGATTGTAGGGCATCTTCGGCGTAAGAGAGCACTACTGTGGACTTCCACCTGCCCAAGAAAGCCAGCTCCTGAATTGGCATGCCCAGCCTGACGTAGTTCATCGCTCCCGTCCTTCTGGCTGAATGACCTTGTATGTGTTCATTTGTGACCCGAGCCCAACCTTCCACCATCTTGGCTTTTGATAGTTTGCGATGCTCGGAGTCCTGGAAGATGTATTCATGTGGGTCACGAAGGGGGCCGCGGTATGCCTTGAAGATTTCGTTCCAAACTCTCCAACAACACCATCTGAAACAGCTCTTGTTCATGCAGCATTGAAGTGTTCGTCTCACTCCCAAACCCTGCTGGTCACACTTGGAGAGGGGGATGAAAATAGTTATCTTCTTGCCCACTTCACACTTGGTGACGTCTCGCCACTTCATTGAACTCACCTCAACCTCTCTGAGCATCCATATCACTGCCCAAGCGTACGACAATGCCGGCCTCAGAGTGCTTTTGGTTGAGGTATAGCAAGACATCCAATTGAGGGGCTCGATGTCATCCAGCTTGAACTCCGGGGCTCTCTTCACCGGACCGCGATTCCTCTTCAGGGACCTCTTGCAGTCCGTCAAGAGCTTGTTCATCTGCAAGCTCACCTCGAAGCCTGCCTCCACGTGCATCATCTTGAGCTCATTGACATACTGGTCTCCCGATGTCCACCCTCCCGCTTTTATGGCTGCGGCCACGTCCTCAATGGTGTTCAGACTCAGCGGGAAGACGTGTCCTCTCTCGCCCACGCTCACCTTGGCCATGGCTAGCACTTGCTCCCTTTTGGACCTTTGAGCTGCCTTGGACGACTTCGCCAAGAAATCTCCCCTTAGCGACTCCCTAGCCCTTTTCAGCTCACACTCGCCCTGCAGGATGTCCATGACTTCCTCGAACGATCTCTTCTTTGCGGGCATTTCGTGGTCCTGCCTCATCTGCTTTTCCCTCACAGCCGGGGCGCCATCTCTCTTTACCTGGCTGTCCTTCGCTTCCTCTCTCACAGACTCTCCTCGACCACCTGCTCCATCACGAATTAAACCTGTCATGCACTTCATGGGGTCCCCGAATTTGTAGCCCAGCACCCCCATCGTCCTCTTCGGTGTCATGGGAGTCGGGAACCACGTCGTAGCGTTGGCTGAGGACCCCCACCACCAAGGCGATGCATGTCTTGGAGGTCTTGAACCACGGGTTGAGCACGTTGGACCATAGCTTCCAGGATTTGTGCCTGTGCCCATTTGGCTTCTGGCGAATCCTTCATGGTGCTTGTTCGGGATTGCCTCTCTGGCGTTACACTGCTTGGCCGATTCCCCTCTCGTTTGGCAGGTGGGGAGAGGTCTCGTGGCAGATCTCTTCTTTTGTCCCTGCCCGTGTCCTTGAAACATGAGGGGATCTCCTTCTCAAACTCCGCCCCAAAGTTCCTCCCTGGTTTCCGCGGAGTGCTAATTCGGCGTGTGCAGCACAGATAGCCGACCAGGGCCCAACTCCACCGAGTGAGCGTCCACAAAAAGAAAGCCCACCCAGCTAGCACCGCGAACTCGCCGTAAGACCAAGGCCGCGCATCCACCCCGTGGGGAGGGCTGACTTGCAAAGCACCCTCCATTGAGCCCACGCTACGCGCCGCTGGTCCCCTGTGTCCGTCCCCCGGTCAAGTCCCCCCCCCGACGAGCCCCTCGAACCGGTGCATTCCCGAGGGGGCAAACGGGGAAGACGACACCGTCGCAAACCGCAAGCGAAACACACGCCCTCCTCTCCCGGTGGCGTGAGTCCCTCCCTCAAGCCGAGAATGGTGCTACTTTTGTACACCATCCGTTCACAGCAGCTCGAAGGCTCCCGACACTTGGCTTGCGGATGCGCCCCACAACGCCGGTGAAACGCCCGGTGGACTCAGGTATGAGCCATGGATCAGGTTCCTCGGGAAGGTCTTGATCGGCACATCTTTCAGTCGTTCAGGCTTGGCCGGATTGCGCTCATGAGGCCTGGACAGCCAATCCGCCTCGACATTCCAATTCCCTGGGATGTGCTGCGTGATCACCCGCTTGACCCCGTGCCTGTCGCACCTGATGGCCAACTCTGCCCCGATCCAATTGATGACAGGTGAGGGTGATGACAGCCGCTTCGTCATAGCCAATGCGACCACGCTGTCACTTCGCAGAATCACGCTCTTCCCTTCAAGTCTGTTCCCCCATCTCCTGAAGGCCAATTTCACTGCCCATGCTTCCAGTGGCCCCTGGGATGACGATTCTTTCCACTCAACGCCCAACCACTTGGCGTCCTCCTCCAACACGGGGATCTCCAGCGCCTCCAAAATCGTGAACGTCTGGCCCACGTTGTGGTCCACCGTGGCCAGCACTGCCCCGATGCCCTGTGGCGAGGCGTCCGTGACGATTGCAAAGTCCGGTGGCCGTTCCTCCATGGGCTCCGTCCTCAGCGCCAACACGCCCGGGTCCTTGAAGAAGACCATGAACCACCGCCTTGGCAGCTCCAGTCGCTTGACCGACACCAATCCATGTTTTGGCCTGGTATCTGACCTCTGTGATGCCCTCCTGCGTTCGTCTTCTTCTGCCCGTTTGACGTCAGCGATCACAGCATACATTATGCTGACTGCCCACCTTGTTCTCGGAAGGATGCCAGCCACCCAAGAAAGCCTGCCTGTGACTTGCTGCACTTCACGAAGGCTAATCATCCCCTTCGATTCCCAAGATTCTAGGCTGCTCCGAATCTCCTCCATCATCTTCTTTGGCACCGTGAGCTTCACTTCCGCCTCCGCCTGCATCACTTCAAACATCACCCCGATCCAAGTCAGTTGACTTCCTCGGGAGCCTTTGTGCCAAGCCAGGTTGATGCCAAGCGCACGGGCCGTGTACAGGAGGAGTGCCAGATTCCTGTTCCGTCTGGAGGTTGGACCGCGTAGGATCCACATGGGGTCGTCCATGTACAACTGGCTCTGCATCTCCGAAGGTGCAATGAGGGATTGCCAGATCCGAGCTAAGCACGCCGCAAACCTTCCCATCAACAGAGGCGCACCACGGAAGCCAAAGAGCATTGCTACCCACATGAGCGTCTCCGAGGGGTAAATGCCCGGCGAAAGGCAATTGTGATGCTCATCTGGGTGGACTGGAAGATGACAGTACGCGTCGCTCAGATCTGCCGTGACCATCTCGAAGTCATAGATCCCACCTTCCGGCCTGTCCTCATCCAGCTCCCACTCCTCATCTCGTGCTTTGATGGGCATCCTGTCTCGCGTCTTCCACAGGTACCTGAAGCTGTCCACCACATCCATCACCCTGGGGAGAACGATTCTCTCCGGCACCTTGCACCTGGCGTTGCCCCCGGATCGTAGCAGGTCAATTATGATCCGTCTCTTCACACTGCCGTCCTCCTTCGCTTTCACCAACAACGCCAGTTTCGAGACCGTGCCCCTTTGGTGCATCGCGCTGGCCTTGTTCGTCGGGAGGACCGCCGCGAAGCCTTCTGCCACCAACCTGCCCAACTCCGCTTTGGCATGCTCTGGTTCATCCGTGAAGCTCTTGTAGTTTTCCATCCCCAGCTGGTTGGCCAACTCCGGCGTCTCCTCAACCTCCTGTTCCGGGTCATCAGACATCGGAAAGATCCCGCAACATGGGATCTCTTTGCTCATCCCCAGCGGCACCCCCTTCCGAATCCATTCCACCAGATGCTGCTCTGGGTCGGCCGCTGTCTTCAGCCATGCTTCCCATAGTTCCGGGTCCAGCGGGGAGTCGAATTCGTACTTGTCCTTCAGGACGATGTCCGTGAAGGCCCTCGTCTGGAAGAACTGCTTCAACGCCCCCTTCCATGCCATTTCCACTTCCATGTTTGGTCGATTGCCCTGGGAGCTGTAGTTCTTCGCCACCTCAAGCGCCTCGGGATAGTCCTCAATGAAACGGTCCCAGATCCGGCCCACGTCCATGCCGACTCTTCTCAACACAGACAACTTTTCTACTGCCCTGCCGGGGTTCCGCATGCCTCCGATGTAGCGCTCATTCTCCTCCTCGCGCCTCGCCTTCTTGGACATCCCCATGATGGGCCTCAGATCCTGATTGATTTGGGTCGACTCCCAAACTCTCTTCGATGGATCTGCCGTCGGACGTCCTTCAGGGGGTCCCCGATAAATCTTCTCCTTGCTCTCAATCCACTTCCTCTTCAACCCCGACACTTCCTGCTCCTTCGTCTTGAGCATGTTTCGCCAGTATTCCAGTTGGAGCGTGTGCTTGAAAGCCGTGATCAGGAGCTTGCAGTAGGCCTCACACAACTGTTTCGGATATTGTGCTGCCGCTGCCGTCTTTTGATGTCCTACAAGAGGTTCATGACGGATCCATTGCCCACAGGTGCAGGGTTTCTTCAAAGTCTCAAGGTCCAGCAACCTCCCTGCAAAGCGACCGGGTTTGAACCACCTCACACGCTCCTCCGTCTGAAACGAACACGTGTTGTAGTCCGCCACCTGACCCTCACACGCGTCCATGAACGCCTTGATCTCCGGAAGCTCCCACGCGGGTCCTTCTTCTCGCGTGCTGGAACCTGGAGGGTTTTCTAGGGTCCCCGCCTGTGGAACCTGTCTCAACCTCTGGCTCTTGAGGATGGCCCCGATGACGACGACCGATCTCGATGCCAACAACGTCCCAACATCCGCCATCTGCTGTTCTTCAACCGAGTTGGATGGGAGCCCATAGATGTGTTGAAGGGATCTCACTGGTGGGGGTCCGCGAAAGTCCATATTCCATCTTGCCCTGCTGAAAGTATTGCAAGGAAAACCCGCGTGCCCGGCGTCAAAGGCGTGAGCCTCCGCCTCCTCCTCCAACTCGAGAAAGGGGTGGTCCTTCGCGAGGTCCACGTCTCCTTCGCCCTTCTTGTCCAGGCTGTACCCCTCGACCTGCAAGCCCTCCTTCTTCGCCATCTCCTTGAGGCACTCCCCGAGGACATCTCGTTCACCACTGAACATGTGAAGAAACCTGAACACCCTCAACTCCTGGTATTCGGGGAAATCACGTGCTTGTTCCAGTGCCTCCTTGATCCTCTCGGGCATGATGTTCATCTCGCCCCCCCGGTCTATCCGTCGAGGCGCTCGCCATGAGGTCCACCGTCCCCCCGCGTGTCGCTCTCTCCGCTCCGCCCGCCTGGGGCCCGAGCTGCACGGTTCATTCACCGCATACCGCCGCGCGCGCCCGCGAACGCCCCGACGCGACCCACGAACCCGAACCAACCCCTCCGAGTCCGTGGACATTCGCCTCAAACCTCCCTAAATCACCTCTCTATCACGCATCCCTAACACACACGTACTTACCCGCACACCCCTCTTGCAAACAACACAAGAAGGCGCAGCACCCTTTGTCCCTAGTCCACTTCGGGATCACGAGGGGGATGCTGCCTTTCGCGGGCATTCCGCGTTCGGATGCGAAGGTGAAAAACATGTCATGCACTTGTGCACTCTCTTGATCTTCCCCTTGCATTCAGACCCTGGGGGAAGTCCAGCACATGGCCCAACGCTCTTGGCCCAGCTGTAGCAAAACTCCTGACCTGCCTGGTCCTTTCCTTTTCCTTTGCCTTTGCCTTTGTTGGAGTCACCCTTTGACCTTTGTTCTCTAAAGTTGGCCAACTCTTCCCTATCCGAAGCCCAACGCTTCCTCTTCGCCATGCGCTTGTCTCTGTTCGCCTGTCTGCGGCGATCACCTCTGTCTTCGTCATCACCACGTTCTGCAGGGGGTCCAGGAATGTGTGCCATGGCTATCGTCTCAGCCGGAGGTTTCGGTGAGCCATGTCCGCCGCTGGCCAACCATGCCGCCGCTGGGTGCCGCACTTGCTCGTTCCAGAACCTCTCGTCCAAGGCCAGAGCCCTAAAGCACGCAGTCCAAGGTTCGTCCTCGGTGAACTCCCTCGGAGCCGTGCCCCCTGCAGCAATGTCCAAAACGATTGCCCTCCTAGTCTTCTCCAACTTCTCCGCCCTGGCCTTGTCATCGGCCTGCGCGATCAAGCCCCAAGCCTTTGGCCATTGTAGCACCAGCTTCTCTATGACCTTCTCGTACAGGAGGAGGGCGGCAAGGGTCACCAAGTTCAGGGAGATGCACGCCACTTTAAACACCCGCCAGCTCACCAACCACTGCTGTAGGTTTTGTGGTCCTGGAAGTTCTTTCATCACGAATGAACCATCGCCTATGGGAAGGAAAGCCCGAAACTTTTGGTTCTTGAGGACCCTCCTGCCAAAAGGAAGCCACACGGAAAAGTCCACGTATGGTGGCTGTCGCTGAACCCGAACTCTGTGATGTAGTGCTGCTAACTGTGCATCTGTCGGCTCTTCTTCTTCTTGAGGGGGAGCGCCCATAGTTGCAATGTATCGCTGTGCCCATTCGTTGAGGAGAACTGCATCAGGAAGCTTCGTCTCCGAGTCATCCGTTTGGTCCACGATGTTTGACATCTTCAAGACATTGTCCTTGCCTCCACTAGATCCTCCTCCTGTCCCCGTGGGTGTCCCCCCCGTGCCACCACCAGTACCTGTACCATCAGGAGGTCCCGGACCAGTTTCTGGCACCCATGGATCGCGGTCCACGAAGGCCTCTGGATTCCCACCTCCACGTACATGAATCACCCAACGTGCATTGCGCCAAACTAACCCCACCTGAGCCGCTTGGATGGGTGTGAGTCGACTGCCATTGGGGAGAAGGGCAGTCCCAACGATTTGAGGAATCGTCCAGTAGGGCATAGCCGCCAGGAGCCTCACATCATTTCCTGGATCTCCAGCGGCCGCGAGGAAAGCATCCCACAGTTCATCTTGCACGTTCAGGTGCCTCAGGAGGTCCGGAATGATGTGGATCTCCTGCGCGTCGCTCAAGGACAGCAGCACCATCCATTTGCAGGCTCGCGCTCAAAAGAAACAGTCAGGTGGTGGAGGCTGTTCTTGAGCCTCCACTGAAGAGGAGGTGAATTTCTCTACCCTCCCTCCCATCCATTCTTTCTATACAACCACTTTTATGTCCCTCAGAACCGCTGGTTCTTCTACAAAATTGTGCTGCTTCGCCATCGATGAAACGTGATGAAGCCAACTTTAGAAGAACATCAGGGCCCACAGTGTTACGAGTAATTACGAGGCTTGAGCCCCGCGTTTTGCCAGACAGCTGGATCTCCTTGTCCAGCATCAGGCAGCGAGCGGACTGGAGCGACACGGATGCAATGGGAAATTCATGGAAATTCCACGAAGCGCCATCGGTGGTAGCATTGGTGGTAGCATTGGTGGGCATCAGGTACAAGACTGACTGGAGTGGGGATGTGAGAACCGCGACTCATCCTATTCAACTTATGTTTGAGATGAAGCCACTTCATCCGTTCTTCCTATTTCGAGTTGTTTCCCCAAAGTCACGCACTTGAGAGCACTAAAAGTCCGAACCGGCCAAACCACAACCATCAAGGTTGAAGGAAAACCAACGAATAACTATCCCCTGCTCACCGAAGCAGGCCTCGGAAATCACCTTCACCGTAGCAGCGCGCGGCTCTTGGTACAAGAGGGCCCGCTCACCGAAGTAAGGAATCGTCTGCTTCGCCTAGGTTGACATTGAACTTTGTTCATTGGACCTCGTCACCGCAAAGTATGCACGTTCTATAACACATAATTGCACTTTTTCTTTATATATATATATATAATTGAAAATGACTATATATTTACAGTATATATATACACAGTATACACCTTCGCAGTCTGAGAGTTATGAGTTATGACTGTGCCCAGGCAAAATGTCCGCATGCCAAGGTACTACATTTGCCTCCAGCTCTCCTTTCACCATGTCATCCCTGAGAATGACCACCTGCCCAAAAAAACAAAGCACATCTAGGCTCTGGGTAGGTTAAGATATGTGAAGCCTCTTACTGCGAATGTGCCGGCGGCGACATGTGGTACTGCTGCGCCAGTGGCGGGGCCGAGATTCTCTGAGACTAGCCCTCGATTGTTCGTAAAGTTCTCTCTTGCAGTTCAGGAGCCTGACTTAGACCTGTTGCCACCCAACTTGTTGGCAACTGAGCGATCCATGATCGATTCTGTGTTGTCTACTTCTCACAACCAGATGGCAGTATAAAGGTAGCTTCAGCCTCGACTGCATGCAGAAGTCCTAAAGCAAGAGATGGTTGTGTGGATATCCCAGACAGCACTAGCATGAATTTGGATGACTACACATTGCGAATGTCAAGGCAACAGGTGTCGAATGCGCCTTGCCCTCCACCAGCATGAAGAAGGTGTTGCCAGGAGCCTAATTCTACAAAGGCTGTTTAGGGTAGAACTCCGTCTGACTTGTGGTTATGTTGCTGGTGCATTCGAGCGGCACCCTGCTCTACAATGTGCTCGTCAGCATTGTAAGTGACCTCGACGACGACTTTGGCCATCTGGGCTTTCCTGGGGTGGTTCGCATGGATCGACGAGTGGACGACGGCCACCTCTTGGAGCCAAGGTTCTCTGTGGTCAACAGCGGCATAAGCAGCGGCACTGCACTAAAGATCTGCACAAATTCCAGCTGTTTCTCCTGCAGTGCTCAAGAAGCTGGCAGGGTATGGCTGTAACCGCCTCCCATCCTTGCAACACACGACACGTTCAAGCAATCAACAAAGCCTCAAAGTTTGAGAAGGTGTGGTTGTGGGCCAGTGGGGACATCATCGGTTCATCTCTGTCTGATCTGTCTGACCTGATGATCACCCAATGTGACCCCCTAGTTGAGCGAAATCAGGTCGATCAGGGCCACGCGAATTGGTGGTGAGCGAATGACGACTTGTCACTAAGAAGCAAACCTGACAACAGCCACCAGCAAAGTCTTCAAATGATTTGGGAATCGTCGCGCAAAGGCAGACAGGAGACCCACCCCTTGAAACACATCTCCATTATGCCACTTCAACTCGGAGCGAGAGCCCTTCTGCACCTCGCTGACTGGCATCACAATCGACTTGAACTGAAGGCCTTGAAGGTCCGACTGGCAGGCATCAGGGTCAAATGCTTTCAGCCCTCCCTGGGCTGTTGAACATATGACGCCAAACCTACATCCACACGTCGTGTCGTATATAAGTTGAATCAAGTTGATACCTACGATACCTATGCTGAAATGAGGAGACCTCTCAACTCAACCACTGAGCGTTCGACTGCTCGTTCTGTTGCCAGAGGTCTTGGGAACGCACCCACACTGAAGGGATTGATTTGTGCTCAGTAGTAGCAGTAGCAGCCCGGCTTTTGCTTGCCGCAATGGTTGGACGAGAAGACTATGGAATACTAGACCCAACTGATACATTCATACCCAAGCTTCCTTCCCTCCAAAAGCCAAATGTTCTGCATTGGTCCCAACAAACCACATCAACTGAAACTGCTTGGAACAACATGAACCACGTACAACCTAGATCACCTCCGATGCTCCTCACCTCCCTGGTCCGGCTGTGATGTTGGAGCCGAGTAACGGTCACAGACCCAAACCGAAGCCTCAGAGGTGCAAACCACCGTAGCTCTCCTGGGAAGTTCAGGAAATCATTTGGAATTTGGAAATTGTATATAGTATATAACCTAACAGCGATGGCCTCCAAACTACTAGCTTCTTGTTACTAGTAGCGATGGCCTCCAACCTAATAGCGATGGCCTGTGTAATAATGCAAGCATGGAGAGGTTGCACTAGTTGCCTGCGAATATCAGGCATCCTGGACGCTGTGCGGCCGTGTGTTCACCGAAGCAGGACAGAGATGCGAGAAAATATTGCAAACATACCGCCCATGTCATACCATTCTCTCAGCTGGGGATCCGTGGAATGAGAAAAATTATGGCCAGCTCTCCGAAGGTGTTCCCTCGCTTCAAGACGTCGACCACGGTCTTCTTACCTCGCTCCGCGAACGGCTCGACCCCACACCCAGAGACACTCATGTCGTCTCTCCAGTTGGTCGATGTCATGCTATTGGATGAGTCATCTGAGGTGCGATTTTCGATGGACGGCACTTGGGATTCTTTCGGCCAACAGGACGATCCCATTTTGCAATAGCATTTCTTGAGATGGCATCACGGACCGGTGTGAGGATGTTCTTACGTAGAGGGTTTGGTACTTTGTGCTCCGCCTTCAGCTACCACCAATGGAGTGCTCTATCAAGTGCAATGATTATGCAAAAGTCAAGTTTTCAATACCCTTTTAATCTTTTCATATGAAAGTGCAGCTATCAAATTGAATGTACAGTATGTGTGCTTCAGGCAGTGTACGCTTGACATACTCGCGCCCTTGTATACTCCTTGTATTCATCTGAGCCAGGTGGCTATGCACAATAGCCCCAGCCCTTGCTTCAGCGAGCCTGGGCATCAACGTGCACTAGAATCTAGAAGATAATGCACTCTGTTCAACCGTTCTGCCCATGTCTGCCCATTTTTGGGAAACTGGTGATGTTCTGTCAACAACCCGAAGGATGACAATGTATTGACAAAAACCTTGGGTTTGGAACGCCGCACGCAGGACACGAAAAGCCTGGACCATGAGAGCAAGGGTAACAGCCATGACTTTCGTCCGAACTCACTCCCACCACAACTATGGCTGGCCAACACGCTGATGCTGCACAGCAGCTTTTCGGTGATGATCACCTCAAACCTGGGCCAAAAGTACCGACATCTTTCCAACTTGGCATTCTACCCTTGCTAGATGATGTTTAGCAATCTCGATCCTAACAGGCATCTGGGTCTAAGCCGCCTCAGACGCACAACGCAAACGCTGCTTTGTGACGTGCCAGATTCCACCACATAGAAGAAGTCGGCGCCCAGATCGCTTTCCCGGATCAGTCGTCGACCAGGCCTAGGTGAAACCTTGCTCAAATTCCTTCAGCCTCTCAAATTCAAATGATGCGCATGGCCCATGGCCCACTTCGGTTCTTGTCAATTCTACTTATATAATGGTCCAAAACCTAGCAGCCCGCTTCGCATCTTGCAGCCAAGGTGACAACACATTCTCCTTCCACATGACGCTGATAAGTGCCTGACCACCGAGATCTTGGTGCAACGAAATGTGCAAATTCCAACCAGACCGCGCACAATCAATTCAATGGACAACGGCACGGCATGGCACGGCGAAACACCTGAACTCACTCACCGACCACTTTTGAGCAATCGTCGCTCTTGGCTTCCTTCGTGGTTCTCATAGGGGGCGAAACGGTGATTGGAAGAAGATGCTTTGAGGGGCAGAGGGTAGGAGATAGGAACGGCCTAAGCCGACAGCACAAACAAGAATCAATATAACAAAGAGCATCAGCATCAGCAACAATGACGACCAGAGACAATTGAGCCAACACAGGATCACCAACACCGCCCATTCGGTTCATCAAGATCATCAAGACCCCGACACTGGAGACATCTGGAGACCTGCAGTCCAAGCCTGCATCTTCTTCTCAGTCAAGCCTCCCATGCCTCCGCTCAAGTTCTCGCAGTTCAGGAGGCAGTCCCTGAGATCCGAGAAGGATCGGTTTAAGTCTAAAGAGACCCCGGTCGTGCTTTTCAGTTAGTGAAGGGATCGGGACCTTGAACAGTGGCGGGCCCGGCAGGCCCACTGCCATTGATCTGGTGTAGTTGGTATAGCTGCTATTCTGCAGACAGACACAGAAGGCAAACTAAATATATACAGTATATAGATGCCACAATATACAGTGAAGAATAGATTATAATTACTATGACCGGAGTATTCTGCGGTGACTGCTTGAAGAACTACAGAGCCCGGGGTATCGGACACTTTTGGAGTGGAGGATGACACGAGCTTCAAAGGCACCAAAATGTATCCCATCCAGCCTCCATCTCTATCCAAAGATCGTGAAACGCAAAACGGCCCCATGGAAATCGTTGTGAACAAACTGATGCATGTGACACGGGTTTTCCTACTTCATCCATCTTCATCCTACTTTCAACATACTTCCATATCTTCCATGATAGGATGGATGCAAATTGAGACATTGTGAGTCATTGCGAGGATTGAAGATCTCTGCGCTCGGCCTGATGAACTGCTCCTCCTGTAGGGTTTTCGGTGTTGGCGGCTTGTGTCTTCCTTGGTCACCCCGGCCACCCAGCTCAAGCACCAAAACAGTCGTCACGTGTTGGAGTGTTGTTACCTCATGACTGGAAGCCTAAAACTTTCACACAGCTACCAAAATCTTGAGGAGTCTTGTGGACCGTTGTGGACTGACCTCCTATTCACACTTGCCGTCTAATCGCTCTGCTGGTTGATTCGGGGCATTGTGTAAAGGACTGGCCCTCAGAGTGCGTAGCAAAACGGATCATTCAGAACAAAGCAGGATGCATTGCAAGCGGCGAAGTTTTGGCTTGCCTCGGCACGAGAACCGGCATTGCACGCCTGTAAGTACACACGTTGTTTATATACGTGGAGCTTACCTGCGATGATATGCCAAACTCTGCTATATGAATACCGAATACATCAAGACAATCAGTGATTGCACATTTTGAGGCGAGCGGTCGCGCGAAAATCAGATCTTGACTTGGGAAGGTCGGTGAAGGTTCAACGAGAAACCAAACATTTGAAGTCTGGCTGGCTCTTCCCAGGTCCATGTCATATTCACCCACCGCAAGATCCCAACAAGAAAAACCACCAAAAGCCATGGCCCTTCGTCTGGGAACTCAGCATCTGGGGCTCCAGCGCTCAGCTTTGCGATCTGCAAAGGTGAGCTTCTCTTTGAGGCCAAGCTCTTCGAATTGCTGGTCGAGCGCAATCCGCGGCACGTGTGGACCGAGGCTGCAAGCCAAACTTCCAACCCAAAATTAAAGGAAAATCCTTTCAAACCCAAAATGAGTCAACTCAAACTCTCCTCAAGTCATGTCAAGAAATCCATATCTCAGCCGTTCGGATTTGCGGCCTGCCGGTGGATCCGCAAGCACTCGGCAAAGCTTTCGGAGATGATGGTGGCCGTGCGCGGCTCCTGAGCCAAAAGCGGCGAATCACAAGTTTCGCTTCGCCAGGGCCTAAAATCGTCGCCGGACTGACGAAAGGATGTGCTGCTGCTGCTGCTGACGCCATTCTTCGTCCACTAGTGCAAAAAGTCAATGCAGGATCGTCAAGGCCCCTCGATGATGCACCCATGTATCCCCCAATGCACACACTAGACGTCTAGAAGTCTGCATGCTTCTATGTTTTCCAATCCCTCAAACCATGTCAAACCCATGCGATCCAGCCATTCAGAAAACCCATGGCTTCGCCTTGCTTAGTCCCCGTCGCCGTCCGCCAAGCTTCAGAGGCCAACAGGGCCTTCTCTCCAAAGTAGTCACCGGGTCCTAAACGCCCCACTACCTCGGCGCTGGGCTGTCAGGGCCGAGGTGTAGACTCATAGAGGGCCCAGCAAGCATAGAGGGCGCAGGGCTGCTCTTTTCGAACGGATCCAGATTGACACAAAAGACATAACTAGACTCTAGACTAAACCACCTACACTCCACACAGTATAAGTCTTGGAGTGTCTTTGATAGCTTTGGGTATTGAAATTGAAACTCATGATTTTTCTGGCAGCACTCAACATGAACCCTGCACATCAAAGCGCAAATCGTCGCAGGCCCCGCACCTTGTCGCCTTTCACTGTATGAACCGTCACGCTGGCCTCACCCTGACGGAGAACGAAAAACTCATCTCCCATCTCTCCTGACATCAGCCGCGGAACATGATAAAAATGGTTGAAGGAAGACATCCATCAATGATGGCTGGGATGCCAAAAGCTACACATGGAAGTGCGGTTGGCAATTCTTGGACAGCAGGATAGCTTCACTTCAGTGAAGGGACGTGAGCTAACAAGGAGACAGGGTTTGCACCCAGGGCATGGCCTTGCTGCCCAGGGCATGGAATGCTACCTCGCGTAGCCGACGACGACCGACATGGCCATACGCGCATAGGCTATGGCCATAAGCTCACCCGTCTCCTTCTTTGATGATGACCGTGCGCGGTGGGAACTTGACTGACTTCGCTGCGCGAGCCTCGAGTCACGGTGTTTGCACAATTCCCCATTCCGTCTGATCAAAACCGCTGGATTAAAATTGGACGCGGAAGCCTGGGGAAAGGTGAAAACGAGTGAAAGAACAGGGCCGTGATCTTAAGTCAATTGAAGCTGACCTCTTCTGTAACTTCAGTCCAAGCTTTCCTCCGAGGCACAACCAGAGGCTGTTGATCGAGGGGAAGACGCTTCAACAGCGGCACCTTTGGATGTGCGACCAACAGCTCCAAGCATCTAAAGGTCTTAGTGCTGCCTTGTCATGTCTCGCACATGGTCTGTGGCCAACAGGGCGCTAAGACTTCAAATTCACAGTGCTGGCCTGGAACAGAAACCGGACTTTGTCCTGGTAGTCGGTGTTTTCTTGCAAGTACCTATCAGAAAGAAAATCCAAGTGCATCACCAACGAAGTGGGCGGGGCTGCGTGTGGAAAGTCACCGTCAAAGAAATCCCAAAGCATTGCCATGGGCCATGTCACTTGTACAGTTCCTCCTTCTTCTTTTTCTTCATCGCTTTTTTCGCACTCTTTCGAGCCTCTATGGCGTCCTCGGTCCAAACACGAAGTGGAGAATGTCAACATCAGCCTCTTGCTCAGGCATGAAACCTTTACATGCTACCAGCTGCAAGAACATCGTGTGCGCTTCAAAGGTTCAAAGATGTGATTCCCCTATGGCACAGCAAAGAGCTACTAGGAGCAAGAACGCTACTAGGAGCAAAGGGCTCGATACTAGGAGCAAAAACGCTACTAGGGGCTCCTGGCCTTACTACTAGGAGGAAGAACGCTGCTAGGAGCAAAGGGCATTATCTGGTCACACCCCAACAAAGAGCATCATAATTTTACCGAACATGATCTACATACTGTAAGTCAATCTGGCAGACCTGCCGGCTATAGTACTATGCAAACATTGTGAACATACATGGACATACACTTGTCAGGGTGGTGGTGGCCGGCACAATTCCTCAACATACCAAAAAAGATCTGACCGAGGCACTTGCCGCCGCTTCATGGACAGCGCCACGCTGGATCCCGAACCCATGATTGTCACTAGGCCATGGCGAGATCCATCAACTCAACTGGCGGCTCTGGAGAGACAAGTCACTCTATGTCTGGGAAATACACCTTGTTGGCTCCAAAGCTGCTGGCAGCAATCACAACTAATCACAACTCTTCCATTTTGTTCTATATTGTGTCTCTCTTGCTTGTGCGAAACGCCGCCAAAAACAAGAGGGCCTCATAACGTTGGGGTGTTGTGATCTAAGTAAGGGCTCACAGTGCAGCAATGCAACGTGAAATATGCTTTACAAAGCCTCACTAAAGATCACTAAAGCATGAATTGGTTTCACTATTCATGTTTGGCTTTTGGTGTTGTGGTGAAACAGCGCGCCGGTTCTTCCGCGCAAGCTGATTTCAGCTGACAAACAGGCAGCAAGGTGTTGAAAAGAAAAGGTCCCACCCAAGATTGGCAATAAATGATCCATAACGGTTTTGACGTACAAATTGACGTGCCAAATGTCAAATCCCGCAACATCCTCACTCAGCGTACAAGGGTCACATTTGGAGAAGCTCATCACAAAATACTTCATGTGTGTAGGGAACAGAAATAGACCAACCTAGTTACAGAACTAGGGCCAGGTACTTGCATAAGCCTCGCCCCTTCAGGAAGTCAGGGCCTCAGCCACTCACAGTCACATCAGCATCTCTCGGTCGAACTTTCCATGCTGAGGGCATAGCTTGTGATCATGCAGGACACGTTGTGTGCAGGACGGAAAAGAACATGTCCACAGTAAAGTAAAGCGCTTTGGAAGGGCACATCTAGGCAACTTGGTCAGGAATCAAGCCAGCCTGTCCCTGAAGCAATTTCCTCTTTGGGCCCCACAAATCAGAATGAAGCATGAAAGCAAAAAATGATCCCGTCAAACTCCCTGTTCAGGACGGTATCCAGGATGGTGCCTAGGTGCCCGGCAATCACAGCAGGGGCGGGTGCCAATGTCCACGCTGTAGACCTAGTTCTCAGCACCAGTCCATCCTTGAAGACTCTGATGGCTTTCATTGGCTGCAGCCTTTCTGAGATCCTGTGGGGTTGGTTCTATCATGTTCTACCTGTCCATCATTCCAAGGATAAGTGATGAAAGGCTGCCACTCCTGTCAGAGTGCTGCTGGTAATGTTTAGAATGTTCGTGTCTGATACGCATTACTACATTCTGTATGATGCTTTGGCTGAGCTTCATTACGTTCCCAGTGCTTCCCAGGACCTTGAACTCCGCCCCGGGGCCTGTCGAGAAATCAAACCACTGACGACTCAACGCGGCTCAGTGCGCAATGGGCAGCCCGGGAACTCAAAGTGACATGTGCAAGAATTGCTATACCATCCTTCAACTGAATCCTCGAGCGCGGCCTATTCTATCACACACCGAAAGTCTGTGTGGGGCGGAGTATGAGTACCCTGGACTCGCTGATCCACTTGTACCATTGGGTCCTCTTCACTGGAACAACTCGATGAAAATGGTCAAGACAGACCTCCTTCGCAAAATCAGCGTTGTTTTCATGCTGTTTTATTGGTGGCGCGTGTTTGGCCCCCTCCGTCTTACAGTGCAGTATACTCTCAATATACTTGCGGACTGAAGTTCGCATGGGGTGGCGAATACTCCGAAACGAGTTAGAATGCTAATTAGATTCATTTAGATTGTTTGCTCGCCTCCTTCGTGCTTTTGCATCTGCAGCCTCATCCGAATCGCCAAATCACCCACATGTTGATAACCACTTTGTCTCATGTTACTTATTTCGCGACTCGCTTGCTTTCGGAAAGCTCCACAGCAGTTCGAGCGTGTTCCAACCAACGCACGCTGTCATCCATCAGCATGCTTCATTTGCTTCATTGCTCTTTCGAAATGTTGATGTTTCATCAGACCTTTCGAAATGCCTTTGGACACGTTGGAGATATGTGTTCGATCCACCCAAGGTCACGACAAGTAGAGGCGCTGCGACAAAGCCCGGTCAATGCGGTCGCCTGGAGCATCGACGGGGGGGACGGTGCTCAGTGATCGTCCAGCGCCGTTCATCTACAGAAAACAAAATAGAAAGAAAAGGGAAACAAGATATGGCCTCCGACCGACTAGCGATGGCCTTCAACCTAATAGCGATATGTTCATATTTGCTCTGGAGATGCTCTGAGTAAGATTTTGGAACATCACACTTCCATACAATTCCTCCCCTCCACAATGAAAATAACAGTTCCTCCTCCACAATGACCTGCGCATCAATATTTCTCGGGTTTAGTTTTGTATTGTTCTTTTCAGTTGAGATCCTCTATGCTATGAGGGGTGCCAATCAAACAACTTGCTCACTCCACTGTACTCGAGGTTTCCAGTCTCAACACTCTGTGTCCTACATTAAACATTACTAAACTCAATACTCGTCGGAAAAAGTTCTGGGGCTCCTTCCTCAAGATTCTGGCATGATCTTCATAATTTCTCCACTCCCAGCCATTTTCCGGGGTGGTCCGGAGTCCGAACCACTATTTCCCCTATTTACCCATCACTATCCATGTAAACCATGCTTACAGCTGCAATCAGCTGGACAACTGTCTTGGACGCTAAGGCACCGGCACAGGGCGTTGCTGGGCTGGCGAACAAATCGCACAGCCCGGTCTTCTTGCGCTGGCAGACCTTGTCTGCGGCTGTTCATGGAGGAGGAACGCTTCCAGCTACCACGAATCTGAGAGCCATTCTACGTTCATCAATGATCTGTCTGCTCAGTCTGAGCTGCTTGTTGATGAAGATGATGCACTTGACGCTGTTATTCTGGCGATTCCTGGCATCATATCGCCAGATTCTGATTGAGGCGATCAGTTGCTGGCAATTGGAGAGCGCACTGCTTATCACCCAGATGTCTCGCCAAATCCAACCGCGCCTCCGTTGACCAGCCTCAAGTGTGCGAAAATGCGCGAACTGAGAATTCCGACCAACCTCACCGGCCTGTCAGTCCTCACAGTTGATCTGGTGTTGATCACTGGTGATGATCGGATTTGTCGGGCTTGAGGCCTGCACAGGCAAATCACTCGGAGCGTCCATGCTTCGAAAACACGTACGCCTTGATGCTGGCTTTCGCTTTGGTGCGGCAGTGACCTCGCACAGCCGACTTATACAGCAGGGAGTGAACAAATCACAGGAGCAAGACACTGTATGTCCACAGTACTGTAAGAGTGCAAAAAAATTATTGGAGGCGTGTAGCTTGTTACAAGACATCAAATACCGAGTTGTCTTTGAGTGCATGACCAGCTCACATAAGTTATCACAAATAACACACAACATATCGACCGAGCACCCAAAAAAATAACGACGCGTATCTGTATCCAGCATATAGGCCGCAAATTGGGCCAGTTTCGTGCATCCATCAGTTCAAAGCATAACGCGTAATAACGCGTGTACCGTGTATGTATATATATATATAGTTATGTAGTATTATATATATATATATTTGCAACGATGATGAGCAGGAGCATTCTCGCCTCTCACTGATCTTGGCTGTTGCGGACACGACTCAGTTCACAAAAGGCATGCGTGACATACCCACTCTCCCCAGCCTTCCTTGCTCTTTTCTTGACCGCCGGCAGTGGCTTGCCTTGCAACAAAACCGCAGCATCAGTTTATCCGTTTATATGCCACCTCCTCCTAACCTGGCTGAATGCAGCCAGGGATAAAAAGGCAAACCAGCAGGATTGGCAAGTCCACTGCTTGAGGGACCAGTGACAGTGATGATGCAACCAGCAAAAAAGATTGCAAGAAGGGATCATGAGTGCGTGCAACGAATATCCGCATCATTCAAAGGCAGGATGACACCATGTGTGCAAATCACATAACCACAAGGACGATCATTAGCCCAGTCCCCATTTTGTTCCCATTCTGTTCTTGCTTCGGCTATGATCGATGATCTCTAAACTCTAAATCGACCATTATCAATCCAGGGGGTTCTTGCTTGAACAGCAAGTTGGGTGGCACTCAAATGGCCCCCCAGGAGTCCAAGAGGCTCGCTGCTGGTAACTTGCGGGCAGCCATGGCGAAGCAAACGCACCACGCAGTTTACATAGATTCCTAGTGTGCAATGTCCTTCAGTTAATGTGGTTGTATATACATGTGAATTCCAAAAAGTGTTCTCCGTCTTGCTTCAACCCTGTCTCCATTCAGCTTACAATATCTAGCAATTAGTGTGTGAGAAAGGAATTGGAATTCTGCAATGCCCTGCTGTTTTCGCTCAAGTAGGATGCCCACTCCACTTCCAGTGTCCGAAGAATAACACGATTCCGGCTTTTCCCATTGGAGCAAAGCTAACAATGAGGAATCAGCATTTTACAACTTGTTGCACAAGTAAACACTCAGGTGTCGGAGCGGGTTGGAGGGGTGTGACACTCCGAAACTTTATGCCGTCATAGGCCGTTGATGGCTCAAGCTTGAGTCCAATGGGGGCAGGTTGGAACTCAACGCATTTCGTTCAAGCATAACATGCACCTACTTGTAGAAAGAACAATATATATTATATAACTATATAACCGAATCTTCTGCAGCGTCGCAGAGCGAGGAGATGCGAGGATCAAAAAGGAACAAAAAACACGGCATAGATCTGCATAGGGTGGATTTCTGGGGAATCTGCATGCAGCCACATAATGCAGCCTCACAAGATCTCACAAGCTATTTGTCGCCCGCGATCTCCAGATTGCTCTCCTTGAACGCGGTGCAGCTCGTGAGCACTCCCTTCAGGCCTCAAGACTGAGGGGAGTGCTCGCGAGGTGTGCATAGTCCTGGCAACTCACAGCTGCCCAGCTGCCGTGCTTGTGTCCTGCCACGCCGCAGGACACTGGTCTGATTAGACCATGTCTCAGCGGAAGCATAATCAACGGATCAACTGCTGCATGATGAGCCTTAAGAGGGAACATGCCCAGGATTCTTGGATGCTGCGAGTGTGGTCTGAAACCCTTACAAACATGTGTGTGTGTGTCAAGACTAAGACCCCTGGATCAAGGGTCCCGCAGCGTCCCTTGTTTTGAAGGATCGCTACCTGTCCTGCACGTGGATGAACGAATGAATGAACGAATCAATGACCCCTTCTTCTGAAAAGCTGCTGTTCCAAGCACACGTTCATACATGTGCACTGAGCATTGGCAAAACATGGCAAAACCCTGCCGTGTTGTAGGAGTCCTCTGAATTAAAGGTTGCAACGCCTTGAGGCCCGTCCTTCTCCGTGGCTCCAAGTGCCTTCTCCTTTTCGGTCGCCCGTGGCCCGCTGGAGTGGCGAACAGGGTGTCTCACTTACGAAAAGGGCCCCTCCAAACAGTAGGTGAACGGCACATGTTGTTCGTTGAGGGGCTCCGAAAAGGAATACAAACCTAGTTGGACCACTGCTGCCCGAGGTCTCCCTGAGGTGCTCTTGAAGCCCGACCCACAGTCATCTGCCTGAAGAAAATGTCGTCATTCTATGTCATTCGGATGTGAACCGAGCGGATGGCGAAATTGTTCTCAAACAAAAGCCCTGTGGCATCCTGTGGCTGTGGCCTTCAAAGAGCATCTCTTCAACGTTCTATCTTGCCATGTCCAGTCGATCCTCCAGACCACGACCTGAAGACTTGCTCAAAACAGTGGCTGCTTCAGTGGCGCTGCTGAAGATCTGAATGCAGTGTCATGGAAGGTTTCATACCTTAGCACCTCGTGCATGGAGCTCTGACGAGCCCCTTCTTTTCCTGGCAGGCCTAAGTAGAGTCTCTTCTGCAGCTCTCATGGCTTCTTCTCGGCTGACGAAACCAAATCTCCGACAAGTCTCCGAGACAAAGCCCCAAGGCCGGCCGCGGCTTCTGTGATTCGTGCCGCGGGTGATGGTCACCATGGAGCCGTCTGCGAGCTCCTTCGGTGCCTGCACAAATCCGATCACCGAATCGCGTTCAGGAGGTGATTCAGTGATGCCATCGATTCCATCGCGGGACTCTGACTCGTGCAGAGGTGGAGATGGCGAAGGAGATGGTACAGGTGAAGGCGCCAGTGAAGGTGCTGTTGAAGGCGCTGGTGAAGGTGCAGGCGAAGGTGCTGGCGACTCAGCAGCAGGTGCAAAGCGCCACACTGAAGCGAAGCGCGGCTTGCAGGAAATCCACTTGATTCGGGCTGGCACAGATGCCGCAGACTCCTCAATACCAGGACCCTCTGTGCCATGAGAAAGGTCAGGATCTCCCGACCTGTGCTCCACACTGGGTGGCACCAGCGAATCTCGAGGAGCCTCGGCGGCTTCGCCTTGCTTTGCTCTGTCCTGGCGCTTTCCTCCAGGAGCAAGAGGTGCCAGAGGCGCCCGCCCAAATGCAACTGGGGTAGTTGCCTTGCCCCCAACGTGGGACAGAATCTGCTGCGCTTCAGCTGAGGCCGCATCTGCATGCAGCCAGGACAAAACATTTCCCCACCCAGGAGCACTTGCAGACTGGACAGGGTTTCCGTGGCTGCTCCCACCTTCAGCAGGAATCTTGGCAGCGCAAGAGGAAGCGGGAGCTTCTGGAAAGGCAGCCATGAAGCTAGGGCCCAGGGGCAGTCTGCCAACTTCATTCTCTTGAGTATCCTCGTCCTCTACTGTGGTGGCCTCTGGCTCGGCCAAATCTGGCTCGGAGGATGCTGCCCAAATCTGGCTGAGCCATGGATGCTCGATCACATCGTCTAAGGTCAGTCTGTGTTCTGGTTCATGCCTCAAAAGGCCCAGCAACAAGTCACGTGCCTCTGAACTAACCCTTTGCCACGCTGCTGATCGGAAAGTGAGCTCATTCACCTCCTCACCTTCCTGTGGGTGGGCTCCTGCCAGCATAGCATACAAAGTCACACCAAGCGCAAACACATCAACCTTGACAGCATCATAGTTTTCTTGTCCGGGTAGAACATGCCGCGTCTCAGGTGCTCTGTAGTACTTTGTTCCTCGGAGGAGAAGTATAGCTCTCGGCCACAGCAATACACTGGCTACATCTGGCTATATACAAACTTTATTGGTCTGCAATGCTTCCGCGACACGTATAAACAAATCTGCTAGCTGCTAGCCGCTAGCCATGTTCAGCCATTGAAGCCTCCCTTCTTCCCTGATTCTCAAGTGTAAACCGCTGCAAACCCCCATTGGTGCATCTTTCTTCCATCCAAAGGCCACTCCAAATCAAAAGGGCTCATGGAGCGCACAGGTGAGGGTCACACCAAACAGGCCCGGCCCGCTGATCACAACTAGAAAGGAAAGCAACTACTAGAAATGGCCTCTAGAGATGGCCTCCAAAGTAGAAGCAATGGCCTGCAACTACTGAACAAGTTGGTGCACAATTTGGGGATCGTTATCGGGAAAGGAAAAAGCCACCCTGCATGTCAGGGTTCCCAAGAATGGCGTTGAAGTCCCCGAAGAGCAGCCGCTGATGTCCTTGCTGAGGCCAAAGTCCACGAGTTTGACGACATCTGGCTGTCCAGGTCGCAATGGGTCAGCAAGTAAAATGTTGTGGGGTTTGAAGTCCCGATGCACTACATCCATTGCATGGCTGTGACGAAGAGCTTCGGCCATTTGCGCAAACAGACCTCGGGCGTCGATTTCCGACAGGCGGCCCCGTCCCATGAGGCGTCGTCCCAGATCCGTGCCACGGACGTACTCCATGATGATGTAAAACTTGCGCCGGAAGGCAAAAGCATCGTAGACCTTCACAACGCCTGGATGTCCCCGCAGCTTCAGCAAGTTCCGCACCTCAAATTCCAGTCGTGCAACCCAACGGACCAATCTCTCTTGATCAGACCCCACTCTGGAGGAGAGAATTTGAAGATCCACTTCTTTCACGGCGTATGACTCAACACCCCGCTTCCCTGCATCAATCCGCTCGTAGCGGTACACATCCGCAAAGCCCCCGCTGCCCAACAATTCTTTTTGACAAAAGCGGGCCGAATCGAGGACAAAGAGCCCGGGTTCCTCCACAGTGGCTTTGCCCGATGTGGATCTTGGCTCCGCCTCCCCAACATCACCCTCGCCTTGCTTGGCGTCTGTATTCCTGGGCAGCATGATGATGTCATCGTGGCAAGGGTTCAAAAAGCCCAATCCAAAAACATGGATGACAGATCTCATTCCTTGACGCACGTCTTCTTCAGAGGGCTCAGTTCGAACCACCAAGTAACGCCGTCCCAGGAGCTCGACATTGCGAATGAGTTGGCCCCAACGTTCCTTGCCATCGATGCGGCTGATGAAGTGTAGAGGCATTTCCTCCTCCAACTCAGGCTCATGAGGTGAAGCGATCTCGACCTCCTCGCTTGAATTCCCAGTTTCATGTCCTTCTGAAAAGGTTCGACGATCCCCTGACACAATGCAGAACTCATTGACATCTGTCACCATTGATTCCGGCGATCCAGCAAAGGAATCCATGGTGTTAGACCTGCGAAAATCGGACTCTCCAGACTTCGGAGTGACATCAGGAGATACTAAGTGTACCTCTCCACTCTGTGGAGTCCTCGCAGTCGTTTCTGAGACCCGGAGGCCCAGCTCAGAGCCGCTCAGCTCCGAATCCGAAGGCGCCGAAGCGGAAGGCGCGTCTGCCTGCTGCATGGCCTACGGAGCAGTGGGGCCTGCCATCTCGGCCCATCTGCTTGATGTCTGTGCTGTGTTTTGTCACTGGCTCGTGGTGCACAAACCCACGGTAAGTACCAAGTTGGAGTTTTGTGTTCAATGATTCAATGATCAGAGTCAGAGTCATCAGAGCACCCCAAACTGTGTGTGTGTGTGACTGTGATTTATGTTTGAATATGTTTGACTGTTTTGGGGAGGTGCATCGACACCATGTGGGCCAGTTCTACTTGTTGAGCCAAGGTAAAGCAGGAATGCCTTGCAGAGAGATTCTGGCAGTGCGTAGAATGCTGCTTGACCAACACAGGACCAGCACTGCAAACTGCAGACCCTTAGTCCCAGTTGTTGCCAGGCTGTCAGAATGCACTGTAATCAGTAGAAAGCAATCCATGAAAACCGCGGCAGGACCTTCCAATAACCCCCAGCTCTGGATGTGCAAAAGAAGGAGGAAGCTGTCTCCCTCACTTTCGAGAACGTTCTTTCGAGACCACCTGAGAGAGACTCTGAGAGGATGGAGGACTCCATCGTCCAGGTGTTTTTTTGCAAAAAAAGAGGGTCCTACTAGATTTGGAGGCTTTCTGCTTCAAAAGAAACATGGTGCGGTTCATGCACCACGATATACCGAACCCGGCTGAAAACTATACCTCACTAGACTTGGATCATGTTCGATGCCTTCCCGCGCCTCATCGATTCACACAAGTCCTGCAACCTCACTTCACAGATTCACACACTCTCTCAAAAGCAGCGACCGTGCAAAAAGAACGGCTACATACTAATCAAACAACAGTACTGTATATTAATTGTACTTAAAAGGCGGAGCGACCTCAAGCAAACCTCTCGAGAAGTTTGGATGCAACCAAACTATACTAAGTTCATATGTTTGTTTCAATTCCGAGTTCAACGATCTTTTGTGTTGCTGTTGAAGCATTTGTACCCTTCGATTCTCACGTGTGCTAGCGCAAGAAGAACTCAACGAGGATAGATTTCGTTCGCTTGGGGGTTCCGGATGTTTCTGGAGGAACCTAAGGCGGCGGCATAGTGCTGCACAGGGAGCTGGCAATGAATCGAATTGTAAGTGCCATTCAGCTGCTATGAAGGAGATTCGGGGATTCTGATGAAGCTGCACTTGACATCATGACATCTCTAGTTCGTGCTAGCGGCTACATAGCGGACAGCATTGAGAAAAGCAAGGAAGATCCTATCTCCATTATGCAGCTTCAACATGTGCAAGAAGCGTTCGGATGTCGAATTAATCTTTTCACCACTGGAGAACTGACTCTGGGGCGTGGCACAAGGCCCTGCCAGTGCAACCAAATCAGCCCCACTTCCACCAGCAGTGGGGCTCCATCAATACCTAGCTTCACAAAGTTTCCATCCGTTTCCCAAATATCGGTCTATATCAGTCTTCTTGTCTCCACTACCTAAGATATTACGAGCATACTTACAAAGAGCAGTTCGTTTCCAACATGCATCTTTTCACATTGGCTTCCTCCCAGTGTCAAGGGCCACCAAACGGGTGGACGAAGTCAACCAACCACCATCCAACGACAAACAACATGAAACTGTAATGACCACGTATACCGTATGACATGCAACACTCCGTACCAGAAATGAACAGGAATGCAAAGCGCTTTAAGACGGGTTTCTTCATTCTCAGGGTCAAATGCAGGTCAGCAGGTTTTGTGCCGGTCGCCGATCACACATGGTCTAGACGTGAGAAGGCTGACGATGGCTGAACATCACAACCGGAGCCCTTGCGGGAGGCCGTGGCGTAAAGCGAAAACATCGTCGCTTGCATCAGCAGGTGCCAATGCAAATCCCGCTGGGCCTGGTGAAACACGTATCCAAACTCAAATGATGAAACACTGCTTTGGTGCCTCTGGTGAAACACTGAGGCAAGTCAGGCGTCTCAGCACCAAGTCTGATTGCACTGATGTTTTTCCTTTCCAGCACATCTTGTTGGATGAGTCCCTGTGAAATTACATGTGCTTCTGTGACACAGAATGCATCCCAAATTCAAGGGCATGTGGTCAGTTTTGTCTTATGGCCTTTCATGATTTCATGATATTTCATGACCTCAATTGAACACATTTCGACATCCACGCCAGGTTTCGTTCCATGTAGGCTCATCATCTGCCTTGGGACTTGGCCGCACTGGCTTCTCCACTTTCTCGGTTTCCCGCTTCGGTACGTCCTCAGCCTTCTTTCGCGGCGCTTCTGGGACATCCGAGCGGGTCGCGGGCTTGGGGAGTGGCTTGTTGGCTGCCTCAGACTCGAAACTTCCTCGCTTCGTGGGCATCTCCTTTGGAGCGCAGTGCTGCGAGAGTTGTGCTCTTTTTGAGACTTGAAGGCATCCTTAAATGTAGCACAAACAGGAGAATAAGCCGTTCAGGCGACTGGATGCAAATCTATTGATATATTATTATATAAGTGCGTTTTGCCGAAGGCGGAAGAAACCACCTCATGGTTCTCAACATTTTGCGATTCCTCATTTCCTCAGTGTAACGAGAATTCCACAAAAATCCTGATCCTTCATATTAATTGGCAACTTTCTTCTTGGAGAATTCTCTTGAATTGTCCAAACATGTCCACGCGGCAATGCGCACGCGTGTTCCCTACCTCCACGAACTCAACTAGCCACTTAACCTTTGCATTGCCTACCGATTCCCGAACACTGTGCGTAACTCCATCCGCCGGGTCTGTGTCCCATTCTTCCAAGCAGTCCTTGGGATAAACGTAGAAACCCTTCATGAGAAATTGAAAGTCCTGCTTCCAGCGGTCCGAGAACAGTGATTACATGCCTATTTGATGCCCATCAGCCGGCACGGCCTCATGTCCAGTCCTCCCACTCCAACCAAAAGATTCCATCAGCTTTGAAGTCCACTTCCAACGCCTCTGCAACTTCAGGATGCGCTTTCCACTCCTTGGGGCACGGCGCTGCTCGATGACCCGACAGCCGGCCCACCCACCAGGTCAAATGATTAGACCATCTATTTATCTAATTGTTTAATTTGGACCATGTTGGATCCGCGCTGCCAAGATTGGTTGGATGATTCCATGATTTGGCACCCTCAGTGGTGGTGTGGTGAAACTCCACAAGTCACAGCTAAGTCTCCTGGGCTCCATCTTTCCATCCGCCCAGCCATTCTTTCCCCTCGCCTTTGCCCCAAGGGTTTCGCAGGCACACCATGCGAAGCCCGCCAACCTCTCTGACACTGAGCAGAGAATAGGAGTGCGGCGAAACAAGACCATCCTGCAGGGACCATTCACTGTCAGTGGAGTTGAAAGGGTCCTACTGATCCTATCTACTCAGTGCACACCTTTGGAGACAAACAATACGTCTCGGGGCTCGCCCAGGTCCAGGTACTTCTCGCGGCGCCATTCTTCCGGACTTACGATGCCAGCAGTCATGAGATAGTTGCGAGCATCGTAGTCGAGCAACATCTGAAACCTGGAGGGCTGAGGGTGTGGAGAGCCCCATGAGCTTTTGGTGCTTCTGACCAAAGTATGCCGGCGACAGGGATAGATGTAGTTAGTGCGGTAGTTTTAGAGCTATTTAGCCACACTGCCTTCTTGATTGACAACTTTGGAATCCAAAGGTCCTCTACCGTACGCCCTGCACATATTGTAGTTTTACCAAGTTTACGTTTATTGATTCCAAGGGTTGAATGTGTTCACATTTGTGGGCGCGCCTTTGACCGCAAGATGTCTGAAAGGACACATCATAATGACATGTGAGTATTTCAGAGCTGCTCCCAAATCATCTCCACACACTTGAATATGTACATATATATATATGTATGCAAATGGTCAAGCAACGGATCGTCCACCTCCTTCATTTGACCAATCTTTTGACCCATGGAGGAGACCACATTCTCGCGCATGTGCCATCGAAACCAACCTGCCACAGGGTTTGCTCATATTGGCCACGGACCGAGCGCAAGTCCAAAAATCAGCCCAGCGACAACCCCAATAGCAAAGCCGAGATTTGATGACAACAAAATACCCGCACCAAACCAGACAGAAAGTGCACTCAAAAACAAACGCAAAAATTACGCACGAAAAATATTTCTGCGGACAACCTGTCTAAAATCGGGCATCTTGTGATCCAAAAGACTTGTGACCTTAGAAAACAACACTGCCTCTTTTTACAGGAGCCTAACTAAGCGAATACTGACCAGCAAACATGATGTTTTTCAACAGTAAACAAAAAGATATATCTAAGCAGTGGATGTATGAACATGTGCCAACGCATGACTTATACACGAACGATACAGGAAACGATAGGAAACGCAGTGTCAAACAAACAGTTCTTACCTGAGGAAACATTCAACCAACACCAACATAATATGTAGAAATACAATCACGGAATTTAGACGCGCAGTTATACAAAAACAACCCATATCCAAGCAGAATGTACGTTCCATTGAGCATCATGTATGCCGATGACCAAAGTTTAAGTGCAATTATACGCAAACCATTTGCAAAACCGAGAGGCAGGCTCGCCACAAGATATCAAGTTCCAGCGGAAAACAAATTCACAAAAATCATGCTATATAAGCGCAAGAGGTGGTTGGACATGGGCCTGCGCAATCTCCACACAGACAAAGATTTCATAAGGGATCAATGCAACCATATGACAAAATCATTATACCACCACCAAAAAAAAACACGATGTATTTTCATCACGAAGCATTATCTATATACGACAGGCGTACTGAACGCAATTCTCAAACGGAACATATATAGTTCAAGCACTTGCGCCACAGGCGACACGCGTTTGGACACGCAAGCGCGTAGTTTAACCGAACGCTAATGCAAAAGAAAATGTCGACATAAGCAGAACGCGCATTTACTCGCCAGCTCAGATTCTATACCAACAATATACGAGGAAACCCTTCTCAAGCAAAACAAATTTGTTACATATCGACGCATAGCTTTTACACTCACGCGCAATGTAATTTTGAAGTGCCAGAACAGGTCTATGGGCATGCAAGCGCACAGCCCATATACGCAAAAAACATCAAAAAAATATCAAAAAACTGAGTCCGAGATGCAGCTACATTATAAGCGAGAGAGACACAACCAAGACATCCACAAATCAAACCACTGCCAAAATAGAACCAAAACACCGCCAAATCAGCAAAACAAGACACACGCACCACCAAATTATAACCAACACACCACCCAAATATGAGCAAGACACCTGCGAAACATGGTCGGAATACCACCTTTTTTTACCGAGACACGGACACCAATCAAACATGAGCGAAACAACACCGAAACATGATCAAGACACCGCCAAAGCACAACCGATGCACCACTAAAACATGACCAAGACATCACCTAAACATGATGCGCATACCGCATAAACATGACCCAAACACTGCCCAAACAGGACCAAGACACGGCCAAAACATGACCGAGACACCACCTAAACATGACCAGCGCACCACCAAAACATAACCAGCACACCACCAAAACATGACCGAGACACCACCTAATCATGACCGAGACAAAGCAAAAACCTGACCGAGACACCACCTCAACATGACCAGTCATGATGACAAAGACACCACCTACAGAAACCCGAGACGCAACAGAAACATGACCGAGATACCACCTCAACATGATTGAGACACCACCTAAAGACGACGGAGGCCCACCTAAACATGATCGAGACACCGAGACACCACCGCCCAGGCCAGGGGCCGTGGATCCCACGGTGCCCCGCCGCCTAAAGAGTGCACAACCTGAAATAAGCAATTGCGGAAAAAGCAAGTACAAAAAATGTGTAGTTTGGAAGTGCAAGTGCAAGAGTGAGAATCCAAACAAATCCCGCTGTACAGCTTTGAGTTGTTCATCTACATCACCTACCTTTAATCCTATCACCTACAGCTCTCTACTCGGCTTTTGATCCTCTCGGGTGCACAAACCCATCCCGAACCTTTGATCTTGATGGTCCGACGACCTGCCACATAGCTGGAGATCCAACCCGAGCTGGGGAAATCAGTGTTGCGGAAGTTGATGCGTTGGCCATGGATTTCCTGGGCGACTTGGTCCGATGGAGTCAACAGAGTGTCACAAGGAGATCTGGCGGTCTCAAACCCTCAAACCTTGATGCCAAGCTTTTGAATATGTATATATATATATATGCTACCCCCCAGTCTACCATTTTGACCGTTTGTGATGCTGTGCACATGATTGGCAGGCCCACCTGCTACAGCTTTTGACATTGCAAACTTTGTGGAAGAAGAAAGGAGATGCCAAACAGTTGATGAGCAGTGGAGGCAGCCATGGAACACTTTTTTTGAGGGCAGATGCGATCAAGCCTGCACGGCAACGCCAGGCACACGCACGAGTTCCCCAGCGCATGTCAGACCCCCGGCGCCAGTACCGTGAGCTGCTTACCTCCTGACAACTTGTGCTTCACAATCTTGACAAAGGTAGGCTTCTTCCAGATCCATTTAAGCCCTTGTGCTTGACCCGCTTTTTCTTGTGCGCCGGTGCACACCAGGAAGCTTCAGCTTGTAGGCCTTGGCGGAGTCTGTGTGAAAGATGATGGTTTTTCCAGCCAAGTGCTTCTTCCCCAATGGAGTCCAATCATGCTGGGCGGTGGGCCCAGGGCCTGGAGAACGACGAACGGTGAGGGCATGCTTCAAGCGAGTGAGGATGAGAGTGTCTGGCTTGCCCCTCTGCGCCAGGCCACACCATTGCTCCCATAGAAGGCATTTGTCTCCTTCGACTTGCTGGTTGAAGTTCGGGTCTTGGGAGACGTCACGCTTGTCAAACGTGACCTCATCAACTTCCACGTCGGTCCACCCCTTGTTCTTTGCAAAGACAATGTCCTTCTCTTTCTTCTCGACGTGCTTTTTGCGAACTTCTTCCAGGCGCCATTGCATACTCTCCACGGCTTTGTGGTTGATGCCCAAGGCGATGTGGATAGAGACCAAGGGCGCACGGAGAAGCAGCAACAAGAGCATAGCCTAGCAGATTGCACTTGGAGGGAATGTCCTTCTGGCCCACGACAAGCTTGGAAGATAGGATGCCAGTGCTGGGGGTGAACCCTTTGCTGGCAACTTTTGCGGGAGCATCTGTAGTTGGCCATATTTCCTCCACAGTGTGCTTTAAGTGAAGACAGTATGCCTTGGTTGCACTTGGGACACACCTTTGCCCAATCTGGAAGGAGTTTGTCTGCAATCAAAGCCTTGACGATCTGGACATCTGAAAAGATCATTGAGCGACATTGCGCTTCCATTGCCCGTGCACCCGACGAACACCACGCGCTGGCACACGACGAACACCCCTGACATAGGGAGCCATTTTCCAAGCAGCTGACTTCATGGAAGCCGGACGCTTCAGCACCACGTTCTTGGGTTCAGGGAAGGGGTTGAATTTCCTTGTCATGGCAGCAAGAAGCGAAGGTTGCTTCTTAGGGAACACGATGATCTTTCAAACGGCTTCAGACATATCCACGTCGCAATGTGTTTGCAGAACCTTTGCGGCCCACTTGCTGGCAGAACATGTGAAAGCTTGCGCACAAGTGGGTTGTTGACAGACGTTTTCAAGTAGGAGAACAACAATGAAGCTTTCCACTGTTCACAGCGAAAGCCTTTATGATAAATTTGCAAACGTTTGCACTTAGACATCTCACGCGCACAGTGACAGCTCACCTTTTCTCCCAGCAGTCAGAGTAAGCACTCCTGATAAATTGCATAGTCCATCAAAGTCATAATCCATCAGGCCCAACCCATTCTCATCTAGCATCTCAGGAGCCATGGCTTCTTCAGCCACTTGCGCTAGATCTTCAAGATGTTGAGTTGAGGAGAAGGAAAGGTTTTCGGACTGGTCTTCGACCGCACACGACGGTTGGGGCTCGGATAAACAAAGGCCCCACGACGACGCCGGCAAGGACGGGTTCCAATTGGGGACACCGGCCGCACTTCATGGTCTTCTTCACTTCACTGGTCTGAAAGCTAGGAAGCACACGGACGCCCTGCTGTCGGAACAAGTGGTCCTGAATCTTGCCATTCGTGAAATGTATAGTCCTGGCTTTTCATCTTGTTGACTGTCTCATCAATCATGGCTGGCCCTCGTTGCACATCGGCGTCGAAAGCGGGACCAGTTTCCATGCAACCCGTCTTGTCACCGTCTTGTACTTCCCATACTGTGGCTTGTCTCTGTCTGCAAGCAAGCCTTTGCGCAAGTCATCCAAACAGATGCAATGGATTATGGCGGTGGATGGTAGCCACTTTGTCCTCGCTGGGCAAACGAAGATACAAAGCTGAATCTGAGAAGAGAAAGATGATTGCACGCTTCAGCGTTGCCAGCACGTCCTTTTCTTTCTCCCCGGCAAAGAGGTCATTCAAGAAGAGTAAGAAGTCTCCAGCAGGCAACGTAGTGCCAAGCTTCCTTTGCTTGGCTCCACCATCCTCCTTCAAGTCATTGGAAGCATATGCTCTAAGCTGGTTTCTGATGAGACGAGTGTCGTTGTAGCGAGCTTCGACCGTGCCATCCTCATCTGACGTCAGAAAGCTCTTCAAATCAGCGATGGACACTTTCTTTCTTGATGGATCATCTAGAATCTAGAGGGGCCTTGCGTCTGAAATTGTCCAAGGATTTGGCACGGCGCCAGCCTGCTTTCAAACCTTCATTCCCACGCTGACGCGCGTGATACCTTCCAAGGGCCATTGACAAAATGATGAGAAAGGGCGTTTTCCCAACGCCTGGACAGCCTAGAAGTAGGACGCCACAGTTGAGGAGAAGCGGGTAGATGAAGGGCAGCAAAACCTCGTATATGAATGGCTCAGGCCGTAGGTATTCAAGGGGAACTGTGTCATGGATATGGCTCCTCCCAGTCCCTTGCTCTTGTTCTGGCACATGTGGTGGACTTTTGAAACTTTTGCCTCGGGCCAGCCAGCAATTGGCGTGCCAGAATCGGGTTTGATGTTGACGAGGATCCGCAAGGTTTGTTCATTTCGCGCTTCACACTCAGGTGCCTGGACATTGATGAACATGACGCCTTCCTGCAGTTCGGCGTTGGATGGAGAATAGGCTGGCTTCGGGGCATTGTCTTTCACAGCCTTTTCGTGCAAAGTGTCCACCACTGCACACGGAGCTGGCCACTTGAAAGGAAACCGGCCGAGGCAAGTAGATAAGCTTGACCACATCGATGTTGCCACCATCCTTGGAAACAAAGATGAAGTCGACTTTGGACTCTTGAGGAAGTGTACCCTTGAATTGGACTGCTGCTGGAAGGCTTCCCAAGTTGGTCGCAAGCTCTCCAACGAGTTTTTCAATGTTTTTACATGAACGGATGTTGAGGCGAACATCACATATAACGTTCATGGCTTTGGCCGTTTTGGCACATGGCCGGAGTGCACCTGCCATCAAGTCAGCCACAGATAAAGGTTGCGGCGCCTCCATCAATCCACAAACTGGCTTTTCCAAAGCTGTCAGGACCCACTGCTGGGCAGACAGCTCCTGGAGGTCCTTGTCCATCAGCAATCCCGACATTGGATGCGCGCGTGCGAAGGCAAAGCAATGGATCCAAAGGATGTCTATGTGGGATGTTTTGGGCCAGATGCAACGCTTGAAATCCAGAAGTGGACGCAGACGCAACCAGAATTGAAGACCAAGTGCAGTACGGCTGTCAGGTGTGGGCATCCATTCAAGCCCACCAAGATCGCCTGCTTCACGGGCGAGAAAATGAGTCCTGTTCTTTTCAAGGCCTCTGACTGCAATTCGTCGGCCTCCACACGCAGCATTGGACGTTCAGCCGGCTTCCCGGCTTTCTCTGGGCCGATCGTCTTGACAAGCCTGAGGGTTGCTGAGGCCAGGTGGACAAGGCAAATGAAAAACATCACGAGCTCCGTGGCTGGCCACATTGAGCTAGCTGCTGGCATGACCCAAGCATTCCATGAGCACTCTCATCTCACGCATTGGGAGATCCCCTTCTTGGGAGATCCCCTTCTTTTGCATGTACTTCAAGATTTGAGGCCAGTCAGGGAAAACAAACATATTCTTTGCCATCCTTGATCGTCATATACTCCACGCTGAGAGTCCTCCCCCGCGACGGCCTCCAATCCGTCGAGGTACCAGCACACGGCCTAAGAAAGAAGTCGCCTTTTCATCAGTGCTCGCCATGTTCCGGACATGTCGGGGAAGCCAGCTCTCGTCATATTGCCCAGGCGCCTTGAGGTCCCCAATGGCAGATCGTGTCATCTTCTTGAACTCATTGTCATAGGGTGCCCAGCAAAACGGTAAACAGGCTGTCCATCTCTTGACCAATACTTGAAACCTTCTCCAAAGACACTCAACCGTCATCTCGAGTTCTGAAAAGCTCTCGGCACACACATCTAGATCGGGGGCGGCGATCATGCATGAAGTCACCGCATTGGTGCGCCAAATCAGACGGCGCTCATGGTACACATTGTCGTCACGTCGATAATGCCTCCTCCGCGTTTCCTCGGGGAGCTCGATGGGCCATGAGGCTTCGTTGGCGCCAGCCAGCGGTGAGCTCCAACGAAAATCAGCGCAAATGAGGCTCCGACCAGGTATCACGGAGGTAGGCTTCATGGAACCTCCCTTACTCCTTGAGCCAGATGTCACCCAGTGCCATCTGAACAAACAGCGTCACACCGAAAAGACCTCTACCATCAATCTTCCTGTGAGAACACTACCATTTTTCCTCGGGTCTTCAACCACACTTGTACATGTCCTGCTTGAAACACATCTCCATACCGATCTTTCGGGAGTGGCATGTATGCATATATATATATAAGAGAGAGAGAGAGATGATATATATATATATATACACATGCTATGTGAATATGTACACGCTATGAACCGCACGCAAATCCGAAAAAAAAAACAAAAGTACAGACGTAAAGACAAGCTTGCAGCGTCCATTTATACAAAGCCGATGTGATTGCAACGAAGCCAGAGAAATGAGATGCAAATGAACATGTTTCTCAGAAGGGTGGGGGTGCGACTTTTTCTGGAAATCAAACTTAAACTTTGATGAGACACCAGAATCTCCAAATTCGCACCTTCAGGAAGAACTCCTGGCAGCTTGCTGCAGCTTGTAGCTCAACATAATCTATTGATGTTCAATTACGCATGTCTGCTAGACTCTAGAGTGCTTGCAAGAAACATTCAGGTTGCAAAAGTGCCCCACCCACAAGCCTATCTTCTTGCTTTGCGGATTCTTATCCTCATAGACTGCAAGTCCGCCTTGTTTGATGACTTCACAGCGATGATTCCTTGGACAGCAGTGTGGTGCACACTGTGCTGATCAATCTGCCGTGCGCCGTTGCAAACAATCTACAGTATGTCAGTATGTGCATGATTGTCCAGACATCCCCATGCCCGTTCTGTAAGGGGTCCTTTCTCCGATTGTTTATAGACATAAAATGGTCTCCTGTAACCCTGCCAGGTGACAAGAATGAACACTCCTAGTACCTGACAAATGTAAGAAGTCAACACAAAGCTCCTCACGCCTCGTTTTCATCCACAAGCCTTGCACACACAGTATTGCCTCTATAAAATGAAGCCCCAACTCCTAAAACGTCTGAGGAGGGGAGTGCTAGCACTTAGCAAACCTTTAGTTCTGTTCGAACGCTGGTTTCCAACCGGCAAACGGAGGATAGGATCTCAAACAAGTGTCTGGACATCTTCCTCCGAGCAGATATGCTAACAGAGTTGACGTCTCGAGATTTTAGCCGTTCTTAAACATGTTATTTTGCAACCATGGTTTGTCTTCTCCTCCTGGCTCACAATTGGTGTTTTGAATGGCGCTGATGCCTTGACATGATGGACTTGGGAAAGCAAAGCTGCTCGCACAGCAAACATATACAGTAAATATGCTTAAATATGTTACATGTTGCTTAAATTGCTTCAAGTGATCCGCACCATGATATTTCAATAACTTGTCTTCATGCCATGGCATGGTGGAGAGCATGTTGCCATGGTCGGGGTGTTCGATTTTGTTTGTGGGTCCTCAGGCTTGGGGTTGCTGCTTTAGTGTTGGGGTGTTGCCAGGGTCTACAGTTGGCACCCAAAAGCGCGACCCTGTGACAACCTGCCACGCAAAATGCCACACACCGGTAAATATAGTGTTGTGCTTGTGGCTGTGGTTGTGTCTGTGGGTGCATCTGTGGTTGTGTTTGTGTGTTGTGTGGGCACTTGCTGTTGAGGTCCGAGCGTGCCCACTGTGATCTGGCGATTGCTTTTGGGGTATGGTGCTAGGGCCACTCCAACCTGGCGCATGCTGTTGCGGCCCAGGAGTGCCCATGCGATTTTCGCGTGCTGTTGTGGTCCAGGAGTGCCCGCTGCGATCGGGCGCTTGCTGTTGAGGCCCGGGAGTGCCCACTGCGATCTGGCGCTTGCTGTTGAGGTCTGGGAGTGCCCACTGTGATCTAGCGCTTGCTGATCTTGCTTTTGAGGTCCGGCAGTGCCCACTGCGATCTGGCCTTTGTTGTTGTGAGGCGAGGAGGAAGCGGAGGAGTTGCGGGTTCCTCTTCAAAAATCTAGCAACCCTCACCTGGCAGGTGGGGAAAAAACCACACCCAGAATCTTGTCGTCGTACTCGTGGAGCGCGGCAAACATGAGACCCCGCGTCTCCCCAGTCATCATGGCAATGGCATACGTACTGCCCCCGCCATGCAAGTTTGAGTACGATCCTCGGATTCAGATTGCAAACATCCTTGAATATCCCAGACACGACCACAGTAAGAATGTGTAAGAATGTCGGTCTCTCTAGAAATGACTCTTACAGTAGATACTCCTCGTCTTCCTGAGGATTTTCTGGGCAAAGCCGCCAACCTTCACCCAAGGGTTCCTAGTATCATTGCCTTTAGGCACTTGGCGTAAACTTGCAAGAGCTGGAAATCAATCAAGGCTGCATGTTCCAGAAGAGGGTAATTTCAAGCCAGTCCCCTGCCCAGAAAACAATCAAACAAGGTTGTCATGATTTTCTGAACATGGTGTGTGTGTGTGCAACTACCCAGGGCCGGTCAAGTTTCCATAGTACTTTGCAAAGGTTTTCTCCAAAATCGGCGCGAAAAGCTTGTCGGTCCCATTTGCAAATGCAAGCCTCGGCGGCCCGTACCTGGGTGTCGGCAGGTACAAGGAAACAATCCAAAAGAATCCGTGTCAACAGTGATATATGCTGATCATTCCAGGTACCAAGGGCCAGGAAGGCAAGGAATGTAGTCATCGATCACAAAAGTGCTCCTCTTTTCCAGCTGGTCGGCATTGAGGTCGAACAAATTTCAGTCTTTTGCGAACTCACACGATACCAAATGCTATTATATATTGTATTGTATGTGTTGTGCGTGTGTTAGTAAGGTGTGTATGTGTGTGTGTCTGTGTTGTAGCAGGCTTGAAAATCTCTCTGTAAAAAATGGGCCTCGGATGTGAAGACTGTCACAGTTGGATGGCCCAAACAACGGGCTCTACCACTAAGAGAGCTACTCTACCCATAATTACCCGTTCAAAGAAAACAACTCCAGCTCAGGTTGCGAACCATCCCTGTTTTGGGGGGTGCACACTTAGCCGCTAGATGCCACTAGTAGCACATACACGAAACATGTAACTGAGCTGCTTGACTGCTTCATGCTACGCTTGTGGATTGACCTCACAGGAAACAAACACATGATGCCACCCAGTCGTCCTGAAGCAGGAGATGGAAAATCTAAACGATCTAAACATTCCAACCTCATGAAACAAATCGACCTCAGACACCATTTCAGGAGAAGCACGCAGCTCATACCTCCCATCCTCAGCCAGCTCCTGTGAAGGAAAGCGAGAAAAATTGTTTCGTCTTTCTTGGTTTGTGTCATGTTCATCGTGTTCCTGGTACGGGCAATCCCTTTTACTGTATATCCTTTTTGTCCTTCCCAGACACCTTTAGCGGTGGCAAGGAGATGATTTCCCTCTCATGTTCACCTTAAAACTCACCTTGCGTGGTTTCTCCGGGCTGTTGTGCCGTTGTTTCATGCTCCGAGCCTTGGAGCAAGTTTCGACCCCACAGAGTAAAGACATTCAGAGTGAGTCTAGTCAGTCGTTCGTCAGTCTAGTGACTACCCTCTCTTAGATAACTCGTAGAGTTCTGCCGACTCAGACACATGGGTGCTTTCTTTGTCAAGGTTATTTATTGTATCTGCCGACCCCGGCCTATAGCCAAAGCCTAGGCGGGGAGGCGCCTGGGACACCGCAGGGTGAAGCAGTTGGCCAAGCCTTGCAGAACCCTTCCAAGCACTTCCAAAGGCATGTGTGCAGGTGCATTGTGGTTGGCCGCGGCCTCTCGGTGGCCTGTCCGAGGCCTGCCTCTCCCCAACATAGGCCCAAGATAGCCAACATATCCCCAACATATGCCCAACATAGCCTCCAAGATGGCTCAACATAGAGCCAACATAGGCCAACATGGGGCCAACATACGCCAACATAGGCCCAACATAGGCCCAACCTAGGCCAACATAGGCCAACATACGCCTAACGTAGGCCAACATAGGCTCCACATGGGCCCAAGATGTGCCCAACATAGACCACATGGACCCAACTTGGCCCAACCTAGGGCGAAGATGCGCGCCAGATAGCTTAACTTTGCTCAATATAGGCCCCACCAAGGCCAACATAAGCGTGACATACGCCCCACAGACCCAAGTGGGCCGGCGCCCGGCTGTTAGGCGTAAGCCTTTAAATATTTATAGTGTTTTCATTATTTTCTGTATTAATACTGTATATGTTGACAGCACAATGTATGGATTCCCGTCTCCACGATTGATGCAAACTTATGTGACATGGTGTTCGATTCTCTCATCATGCGCCAATTTATGGCACGTCTGGCAAGAGTTCAAAAACTTAAAAGCATTTCAAACTGCAAAAACTTTCTACCGAGAGCTGTGTAAGATTGCCTGTTTGCTTCAACCATCTTTCAATGAGACAGGGGAGTAAGCTGAGGCTCGCTTCTGCGGCATCAGGCCATGAAAATGACGATATCAACCTGGACTTGTAAAAGTGGCCTGTGGTCTGTGATCTGAGAGCTCTCCGTCATCGGAGTGCCTATTGGTGGAAACACAGTCCCCTGAGAGACCTATATGGAGCAATCCATCATCTGTGATTGAAATCTGACGTGTTAAGCTGTCAATTGCTTCTCAACCTTCCCCACGTCTCCTTCCTCCCAAAGACATAATCTTCCAAATAATGAGGAAACTCCGCCACAGCGGCAATTGCCGCAATTAGCCAACAGTCTCCGACGCGGCCTGCGACAAAAACTTCCACAGAGTCGCTGGTCGCAAGCTGCAATCCACAAACGTCCAGAATCACACAAATATCACAAAATCCATCTTGTCGTCACTCAGTTGTTCACAAGATAATTTGACGGGAAGCGTGTCAAACCCCCATCTGCCAAGGGCCATTGTGTCTGGCCTTGGCAAATATCTGCGGGCTCTGCATTGTCCCCAAACAGGGTCGGCTCGTCGACAGTCAAAGCAGGTGCCTCACTTCACTTGTCAGAACAGTTATGTATATGATATATATATATATATAGCGCAATTGTCCCGGTTGAACTACTAAAGCATACTAAAGGAGATTGAAGGAGTGAATGTTTGGGCAAGGGCTCCTGGCAAATGACTTTCGACCAGGACATGCACGACTCACCAAGTCAAAAAAAAGTCAAGCTGCTCGCTTCCACATAGGCTCCTGATGTGAGTAGATAGCGGTTCAACATGGTTCAACAGGGTTCACGCCTGCAGCTTTGTGGTCTCACCAATGGGCAACTACGCACTTTGTTGAGAAATGATCAATGATCACGCTTGACACTAGAATGCTAGGGCTGCTAGGGTGCCTTCTTGGGCTGGCTACTGATTTCAACATGTTGTTCGGCATCCACCACCTGACGCTCAACTACAGCGCTTGCTTGCAGCTGGCCGTGGCTGCCACGTTATTGTGCTCTTGTGAAAGCCGTATGGCTGTTTGTGACTTGTTTATCTCAAAACACATCAGCAGGAGCTATGTTTGTAGTGTTTCACCCCAGGTCAGAATCCGGCCCAGCGGCTCCTGTCCTGTCCCAGAGATTCTCGCACTCTATCTCCAAGACTTTGTGAAGAATGCGGAAAGTCAGGATCCTTCCATCCTTCTTTCACCTCTCGTTCTGCAAAACTTAGGGACAGCGCCTCCACGTAGAGGGTCTCCTTCCAATCGGAACTGGTGGGCCAATAGGCCCGATCAGGCGAAAAGCAGAAGGTCTTCCTGAAAGCAACGGACGACGCGGCGTCACTCAGGCGTGCAGCGACCTGGACCTTTTGACTTAGAATTCAGACTAGATGTAAAAAAAGCTTAAGTTATATAAGCATATACGTATCATATACAGTATTGTTTTGTTCGGGCTTCCGGAGGGTTTGCCCGATTGAGACGAAATGAGTAATTAAATATACAGTATAATTAGGTACAGTAATAATCCTAAGTAAGTAAAGGTCAAATTCAAAAAACAAAGAAACTGAACACTTGCAAGAATAAAGACCAGCTGTCTCAGATGTGCGCCAGGCATAGGTGTCATTTTCAGCCTCTTCGCACAGCATCCAAACATTCTCAAGTTTCCAAGCATTCTTCTGGACATAAACCTTGGGCACTGCTTGGGAGAACGGTGATTTTTCAGCACGCCAAACAGAAGCGCTGATGCACCAGTTGCACCAGCATCAAATTCTCACATGTTCAAACGAACGGAAGCGTAGGAAAAACATGGAAAAACATATGCTGAAATGATATACCAAATTAGCAAAATAGAGAGGTTTCCTGGCGATGTTGTCCTCAGACGCACTGAAATACACCGGCCGCCCATTCAAGAGCTCCTGGGCCCATTATGCAGTGAGCGAGTCTGTCATGGACATGAACTCAAGCACAAAATTTTGAAACTGGACATATATTTCACTTCCAATGACCACGTCACACCCTGCGCTTACAAATGTAAACGGTTGAAAATCATCAATAGTGTTTTGAAAAGCCACCGAATCTCAACCTGGGTTATGATGACGTTGCCAAACCGCCTGTCATTTTCGTCGGCTCCTCTTGTTTTTTGAAATGCCCATAGTTACCTAGGCTGATGTTGATACTTTTGGCGGTGCTTCACCAAAACAACCACAGTTACGGACTTGAGCCGGACTTCTGATCCCCAAGTTTGAAAAAGTGCAGCTCGATTCGATACGGCAAGAGTATCCAATGCGGACACTTTGAATCTCCATTGAAAGGCAGGCTTTCCAAGACTAGATTCGAAAGCTTCTAGTTATATAATGCAACAAAGCAGCCACCCTTGACGGCTTTGGGCACTTCAGCTAGCCTTGGCAGTTAAAAATACTTAAAGCACACACTTGCCCACCCCACTGCCCGCTCTCTCTCCCTCTCTCTCATACGTTCATCTCCAACACACTCAGTGGTAAGGTCTCGAACTGAAGATCTACCATTGATGTTGAAATTGGCCAGCTGGGCAAGCCAGCGGCCGAAAAGGATGTCGGTCATGTCAGTCATAATATGTCGAGGCTGTAGAGCTTCAATGGCAGGTGTCGGGTTGCGCTGCAAGTCTTTGCAGGTTTCTCGTGTTTTCTTCTGTTTCTTGGTCTCCCGCCCTGTTCTCCGTGCTTCCTTGTCCCGAAGTTTCAGATTGATTTGAGACTTTCTGAGTTACTGGTCTATGTCCGGTAGTGCTGTCTGCTTTGCAGTGGCAGGCATTTGCGTGCTTTCCATCAGCCTTGGCTCCAGCAGGGCACACAGCACGCTCATCATTGCGGCCCGCAATTGGCCCTTCGGTTCATAAGTGGTCCTTGTCCTCCAAGAGGGATTTGACCCTCCCCACCGCAGCCTGATAGATGAGGGCATTCTCACAGGTGTTACAGGAACTCCGTATGGACGAAGGGCGGAACGGTTCAGGGCGAGGCGGCGCCGGATTAGGTTCCTTCAAAGCAATCCAGCATCCAGTAAACGCACGAAGCTCGGTAGCCTCCCTTGGCGCCAAACAAGTGTAGGAGTTGCCATGGCCCTTGCTGCTATTGCCCAATCTCTCTCTCTCTCTCTTTCTCTCTATCCCTATCCCTATCTCTATATCTCTCCCCCTCTCTCTCTCTCTCTCTCTCTCTCTCTCTGTCTCTCTCTCTCTCTCTCTTTCTTTCCGTTTCTCCCTCTCCCTCTCCCTCCCTCCCTCTATCTCTCTCTCTCACTTCATGATCGGCGCAGGTGCCAAGGCCACTGCCAAAGACAAAACAATGGAGCCGGGGAGCAGTTCCTCATCCGTCTTCTTCTCCAGTTCGCAGGTCATACCTGGTTCCTCCTCATAACCTCTGCAGGGCACAAAGAATGTACTTTGCGGGTTGCACATGTTCAAAGCACAAGGTCACCAGGCCCAACTCTGCGATCGTTGCTCTTGCCGCTTACAGTCACAAGCCACAGCATGACCGAAGATCCATGTGCTGTTTCTTGACTCATCTAGACTCGAAGCTAGCTCTACAGCCCAACACAGCATAAACTCCGCAAAGCTGTCCCCTTATGACACTAGCGTGGCCATGCCTTTCTTGTCCAGTTGCCAAACCTGAGTATCAAGCGGGAAAGCCTATGCCAGAAGCTCTGGCTTCACTCACGGCTTGACATCGATTGAACAAGAACATGGGCTGACGATTTCATGTCCAGGACTCTGTGATAGTCCTGAGTGATCTCCACCCAATCCGCATGTTTCGTGGCGAAGGGCACAGGAGTGTGCAAACCCTGGTCCCTGTGGCCCAAGGAGCACTTCCCAAAAGTGGGTAAGGCATCATGAGTTATGAAAAAAATAATGAAACACAAAATAAGAGTGGAATCTACAATTCTAGCAATTCCACGACTCGTCATCTGATCCGTCTGATCCATCCATATGCATCCGGTGTCTGGGGACGATTCATTGAATCACAAATGGCCCGCAATGGATTACGAATCCGAAAAAAGCATCAGTGTCCCAGATTTGGACCGACAACATCAACATACAAACCCCCCTTACGTGCACAACCCCAATAATTATATAACCAGTATGCCGCCAGTATAACTTAGTACAGTATACCTGTAGAGGTTATCTAAGTTATCCTTCTCACGTCGACAGAACCGTCAATCTGAGGAACTTCCCAGCTTTCATTTGCCATGTGCGGTGCGCGCTTGGTCTTCAGCCGGGCAGTGGCATTTCGGCTGGGCTTCCAATAAATGGACCACCGACCATAGCCGCTGTGGTAGAAGAGCGTCCCTGACAAGGAGCACGGCATACATTGAAAGCAAAAAGGCCTTCCATCACGAGTCATCATGAGTCCGCCTTCATTGGTGTCCTGCTGTGAAACCGGAACGGTTTGGTTCCGGTTCGTGAGACAAACCCAAACAATGTGGAACCTGCAGAAACCACACATGGCTCGACAGGGCATGCTTGGGAAACAAAAGGTGCCTAATTATTAGTTGACCTGCCTTTCACCCAACAAAATAGATCAAAATAGGATAAAACTCGCCTTGCAACTCCTCAGGGCGCCTTTGAGATATGTTGGGGAAACACTGGTGGGCCCCGGCTGGACTGAACATGGACGTCCCGCAAGTCCGATGGTATCATAGGTTTGGACCCACTCCGGCATATCAGCATATCTCATCCTGAAAGTCAAGACCAACGGGGTCTGGCTCAAATGGGGCTTTGGATCTCAACGGTGCAAAGTGATGGGCTTGAGCGCAAGGGCATGAATTTGTCTGCAGACTTTTGAGGGTCGTTACGTCTTGCAATCTCTTCACGTCAGCTCGGAAAACGATATCAGAATGACAGCGGCTTCGCTGCATTAAACCATGCCTATTGCATCTGGTCGGCCAAACAGGCACGTACGAGTATTAGAAACAGCCATGGGCCACAGTCCATTCAGCAAAGCCACTCTTGGTGGCTGCGCAAAAAAAGGTGGGGCGGTGATTGTAACCTCAGTAAAGCAGTGTCGGTCTGGGCAACGCTCTACTTTGAGCCTGAACGACTGGCCAATAGGACCAAGTGTTTGTCAATTGCAATAACTGCACCTCATCACTAAGTGATGCGTCTGACAACTTTGCTTTGGGGGGGATGACGAAGATGACCATGACAAATGGACAGTTGGCCTTGCAAAAGGATTGCAATTAGCGCACTTCAGTTCCTTCAGTTCTGCTCTTCTGTTGAAACCCAATGGACAAATCGCCAGTCCCTGTCCTATTTGAGGGGTGGGCCTAAGGTCCCGGACCGGGCGTTTTGATCCGTTTTGCCCAGACGCTACTGCCCAGCTTCTGAACGTAGGTGCCGTTGATGTCGCGCGAGCAGCCGGCGACCACCAACGAAGTGGCCACAGTACCTGGGAGAGTTTCCCGGAAAACCTTGAAGACTTGCCCAGCACCCTACCTACTGCAGTCAAAAATTTACATTGTTATGATATTACGATATGGAACAACACAAAGAAGGCACGGTTAATACAACTAAACCAATTGATGCAGGAACCCAATTGTAGTAGAGGGTTAGTTTGAAGCACCTGACGGTTCTGAGGAGCGGTTTTGAGAAACGTTGGTCTAAAATGAAGGTTTACCATTGTGCAGTCCATCAAAGCGATCAGCACAAAAACATGATCATCAAAAAGCATTAGTTTTTTGGGCGATGTATACTCTCATTTTTCCAAAGAAACAGATCGAATGAAGCATAACCACAGCCCCCCAACTGTCCTCCAAAGTTCTTGCCCAGGTCGAAAGTTCTGGCGTTTTCTGCAAATATCCTCGCCAAGGTATACAGTTGTAAGTGGCTGCAGTGTTGCGCAAAATAGAAACGATATACGACATGCACTGGCCCCATCATGTCCCATCCAGTTTTCAAATTTTCCACCAGCTTGAGTTTGAGCAACAAAAACCGATACGGTACGGCATATGAGCAAAGATGATACTCGTCACAGCATAAGAATATAGAATCCAAACACGGCCATGTTGACAAAAAGAATCGAAAAGAATCGTTCATACAGTTTTCCAAGGATAATATGCCCCAAAAGTCAGCACCTGTTTATTGGTTGTTCTTGGGCCCGGCTGCACGTAAACAATCGCGCGCGCGTGCTCAGCTGCTCTCCAGACTCAGCTTTCACGTGCATTTTGACCCACGTATGGTTTCCTGCAACCCATCCCGTACATGGCCGATATCACAACATTGTCATCGATTCACAACATTGTCATCAATTAGTCGTGTGATTAAAATGGGGTGCGGCGGTGGGGCGAGGCAAAGTCAATATCACAACATAGTCATCGAAATCTCCGAAAGTCGCGGCCTTTTCCGCAAACCTTGAACCGCTATGTTACACACACATGATTTCGTGCGTGTCATCCTTGTGGCAGGGTGCACATGCTCAGTTCTGACACCCCGCCTTAAGGGTTTGTGAAGTTAACAAATCCTTACCTCTTTCCGAAAGCATTCCAAATTCAGATGTGAAACTTCTGCTCTCAGTACTCGATGTTCTAGTCTGGAGCTCTGTTTTCCTTGTCTTCGTTGCAGCCTTCATCATCAGTCGCATTGGGCTCTTCATCGACTTCAACCTCTTCGTACTCTTCTTCATTTCCTTCTTCTACTTCGATTTCTTCGTTCTCTGAAGTCTCGTTGCCTTCTTCCTCTGGGTAATGCATGTCAACCCATGCATCTGGGTCTTCACATTCACCCATCTCCTCAGCTCTCTTGACTGCACTCGAAGATTCTGCAGCTTCTGAGCCTTCATCAACTTTCTCCTCATCTGCAAGCGTCTCATTGTCGTCAAAGAAACTGAGACTATTGCCACTTTCCATCCACTTGTTGAACGTAATTGTGGCTGCATTGTATGCTCTGCCATCTCTTCTCCCACAAAGCAACAGCAAATGTTGGAGATACTTCAGGGTGTTCCGTGCATCCTTGATCTCTTGTCGAAGTCCAGGGTCTCTTTGGTACTCGAGTTCCCTGATGAACTCATTGAGGTTCTTGCGCGCCAAAGTCAGCGAAACCTCCGGTCCATGGCCCTCATTCAAGAGCCTTCTCCTGAACTCCTCAAACTCGTCCTCATTGAACGGGATGCCATCTTCACCCCAAAGCAGCATTGCCTGGATGGAACCCAGGACAAACCAGCCACGGCCACTATTGGCCTCATTGTTCTCCATCATTTGTTGTGGCCTGAGACCAAAGTTCACAAGGTCCTCTGCCACCATGTCCGACAGACTTGGGCGAAAGATGTCGTTCTCCATCATCGCCTCTCTCTCTGCCTCTGTTCCTCTCCTTCTCGGTGCCACTGAAGAACTTGGCTCTTCACTTTCTTCTTCTTCTCTCATCTCTTCTTCTTCACTTTCAGGTGCTTCCATAGTATGTCCAACTTCGTTCTGAACACTCCTCTCTGGCCTCGTCGGCGCTTCTTCATCTTCTGCTGCTGTTGTCGCTTCTGCTGTTGTTGAACTGCTTCCTCTGCCAGCAGCAATATCTCCATTTGACTTTTGTGCAATTCTTCTCCTTGGTCTTGGAGTGTCATGTCTTGTACCTGTTACTGGTACATCGGTGTACCATGGGTTGTCATCTCCTGCACTGGGGTTGTAGCCATGGCCACCATCATCATCATCATCGTCATGTGGCTCATCATCGTTGTCATCAGCCTCATCGTCTGCTTCTTCTTCTTCACCTTCATCCTCTGTGTTAGCATCACCTGCTATTCGCATTGGATCTTCATTTCTCCTCAAGTTCAACTCTGCTCGGATCTCTTTCCATGCAGTCTTGTATCGCGACAGGGATGCTCGAAACTTCTGTAGGTTGAAAACCATCACAGACATCACGAAAAGAAGAAACAACACTGTAACGACCAACAACAAAATGCACCATGTACATTGACGTACTGTGGACTTCATTCCTTCACAACTGTCGTCTTCTGGCGCACACCCTTTCAACCATCCAGCCATCACCATCATCTGCACAATGCGCTGAACACTTGGTGTACTCAAAGTTTGGAAACTCTCACTGCATAGTCCAATGAGTTTTGCCAAGTATTCTCTTCGTTCTCTGCTGAGCGCTTTGGTGTTCAAATCAGCTGGATTCTCCTTTGTCGGGATGCGACCAATCTTGAACCATCCTCTTCTCATCGCTTCCTGTCCCCACAAAATGCGGGTACACAGGTGCTTGGCCCTGCCTGGGCCTAGGCGCTGGAAAAAGGCCTGAGCCGACGTCGAATCCAGGTAAAGCTTCATCTCAACCTCAACACTGTCACCTGGATCTTCTTTGCATCCTAGCAGGAACTGTAGCGCCTGCTTCAAAGCCACTCCTTCGGCAAGAAGACCTGTAGCTGCCAGCACCTCAGCCTCCATTGAACTCAAGGCTACCGAAGTTTGCCCTCTCGAATGAGAGTGGACACAATTGCCGTTGTGGAAGATCAAACCTGAGCTTGTACTCCTTCTCGAGGATTTTGATGATGCCCAGTCACTGTCACTGAACAACTCAAGCTTGTGATTTCCACCTTTCTTCACTTGATCAGACCTCAAATTCTTCCATCTGCAGAAGACACTGTTCTGACCTTCATTCTTCTCATATCTCAACACCATATCTTGTGTTGCCTGCAAGTAGGACGTGAGCTTCTTGATGGCTGCAAGCGCTGTCTTTGTTGGGTTGGCCATGTACGTTGACAACAATCGTACACTGTGTTGAACATCAATCCTCTCCTGACTTAGGTAGAGGCATAGGCCAAGAGCACTTCTGAACAACTTGCTGTCCTCAGCATTCAGCCGTTCCTCCTCCGAAACCATTGCAGCGTCGAAGACGTCCAGGCTTGCATGCGAAGGCACACCTCGGCCCCGCCTGTCCTGAATCTTGAGCGTGCTAATCAACTTCGGTACGTACTTGCCATTTGCAGCAATCTCCAAACCATCAGCATCAAATGCCAATCGCCTCTTGAGGTAAAACAATGTCCCAGGTCGTGATGTTCCATAGGGACCATCTGCTTTCAACTTCAGAAGCTTGGAAAAATGACTGATGAACTTGTCATGCTCTTCTTCTGCTGCAACTAAGATGATGTCATCAATGTGCACGGACAGAAACTGCTTGCCATCTTCATGTCTATAGATTGTGCCTCCTCGAAATGGGCGAAACTGGAAGTCTGAGCATAGGGCGCTGAAATGTTTGTGCCACTCTAAGGCAGCATTCCTCTGTCCTGGCAAACAGCGCCTCAGCTTCCAGAAAACTAGACCTTCGTTGTTCATGATCTCTCGAATCCATGTAGGCACTTCGATCACCACAAATTCCTTCTGGACAACCTGTAGGAAAGCATCTGAGATGTCCATCACTGAGATCATCAGGTCCATTGTCACGCAAAGTGACATCAGCAGTTTGATGAATGCTAAAGGGCTCGTAGGGCTGAAGGTGTCAATGCTGGATGCTGCTCCACTTCGGAATTCTCGAGCAACCAATCTAGCCCTCCGGATCCAACTGCCTTCTCTGAACCTCCAATCAAAAACAACTCTTGTGTCCAGCTTCATGGCATCATCAACGTTCTCACCTGCTTCCAAGTTGGCAATCACCTGCAGGTCATGTAGTCGGTTCACTTCACTCAACATTGCCTGCTGGTCTAGGACTTGAAGCTCTTCCACACTTACGTGTGGTGGACCATTGCCTTCACTGAAAAATCCTCTTTTCTTCATCTCCTCATGGCTCAACATTGCTCCTGAGCTCGATGCCATTGCTTGACTCCAGTCATAGGAATCTTCGTCTTCTTCTGCTTCGGCCTCCTGTTCATCTTCATCGTACAACTCAATGTCTTCCACTCTTCTCACCTGCCTCTCTTGGTCTTTACTCTCCTCTTTCTTCTGCGCTTTGGTCACCGGCTCTTGAGCTGGTAGATCAGGGTCAAAATGCACAGCTTTTGCAACACTTCCACCTTGCACTTCATCTTTTCTCTTTGGAGGATTCTTCTCAAAGCGTCCTTTCTGTTGCTTGTCCTCACTCATCTCCTCTGCACTGACCTCCGCTGGTCTCTTCACTAACTTGTCTGTCTCTGCTTGTGCGTCGCCAGCTGAAGCGGAAGCGGATGTAGCCCCGCCTGAGTCAGCATTTGTCTCCTCAGCTTCAACCTCAATCTCTCTGTCCTCATCTGGATGCTCTTCAGCGTACTTTCGAACATCATCTGCATCCTGATCTGCTTCTCCATCTTTCCTCTTTTTGTCTCTTCTTGAAGCTCTCGAAGTTTCATCAGGCTTTGAAGGTGTATCAGCCAACAGCTCGGGTGTTGGAGTTGGAATGGGCTTCGTGTCAACTTTTGTATGCACTCCTCTTCTCATGTCCCACGGACCAACAATGGCGTTCACCAAAAGCTCTCCATTCCATGACTCTCCTGTCTTTCGAACTGCCTTACATCTCACCACCTCATTGTTGTTCACAAGGACAAGGTCGTGGTCCATATGGTCCTTGCCCAACCATGCGCCGGGCCTCCACTGGGACTTGTACTTGGCTTGAAGAGGATCTAGACCATAAACTGTTTCTCCAAAGCAACATACTCGTCCTTTGTATGGCCTGCCTTTGACTGACAAGTAGGCTGTCATTCCTGTTGCACTGGTGACGTGATACCTGTTGAGAAGCCAACAAGCATGTACAACAGCCCATGAATACAAGACATGACTCTCATCGAAGAGGATCTGGGCACGATCTTGTACATGTGCAATGATTGTCTTAGCTTGCGCTCTGACTGTTTGAATGCACCGCTCTGCCAATGACGTTCGTGCCTTGTCATAGAACTTGCCAGCT